AGTTACATATTGTAATAGAGCCTAGGTTTTTCATTTCTAAACAAAGCTTGTAATCTTAAAAATCCCTACTTAATTATCTTAGTTTATACATTCTCAACGATCATTAACGAAAATCCCAACGATATGAAGTTTTAACAGTTTAGTAGCGACGACGATTACTAGTAGCTCCATCTAGAGGTGACTCGTTGAATCACTCAGGTTTGTATACCTTGTAGGCTTGTATATTGCCCGAACTATATGTTACGTCTTAATTTCTTCATAAAACCAAATTAATAATAATTAGCGATTAGCCTAGTAAAATATAACCACGGGGGACTACATTTCTTTTTATTTACACACCAGTGTTTAAACTTCGATACCCTGCCGCGCAACTATCTCTTATTTTGTCATAGAGGAGGACAATCACGGGGTTGAATTCAAGGAAGGTGCAATATTCCTATCATCAAAACAAGATCTGTCGACCTATTCGTATTCGTATATCGTCTATATTAGTCAACATATTGAGCCAAATATATAGTCTGTTTATATAAAAGCATGTATGAAAGTTTCCAAGAGGGACATACTCTGAACTTACACGCCAACACGTCCTTCTGTTCTTTACGACCGGAAGCGATAATAATAATTATGCCAGTGTTCTCGCTACTAATTCCCATGCAGTGATTTTCACATGCTCTACGTGACATACGGAGTGGTAAGTAGCGTGACTATTATGCTATGTCATAAATTATCTTAGACAGTCTCGCTGCTTTGACCGTCAAATATTATCATTTGTATTCACGAAACGTTTTAAACAACAACGTGGCATAGTAAAGCGCTACTTACATTTGCTTTTGTGTCATTTCGACCATTTCATTTTAATAATGATTGCTTTGGATCGCCTAGCGGTGTGCGCGGGCGCACTGTGATTCGTGTGGGTAGTTACACAGGTGGCGTTTTATGATAGAGGAAGACAGACAAGAATGGGGTTTACTTGATGGTAGGTGAATCACCCCAGCCATATACCATCTGAACAAGATTTGTTGTCGACCTGTTTTATTTTTAGATATTCGGAAATCCACAGTAATAATAATTCAATACAAATTGACGGGCCAATTGTAATATAGTTATTAATTATTAAGATCAATATTTCAAATATTACAATTTACTTAAACATAATAATGATAAATTAATTAATAGTTATTCTAGTAAAAATTAAAAATAAGGATATTAAAACATCAGCCATAAATTATACACTTAAGAAACGAAAATATGTCATGATTTTGATATTTCTGCGTATTTTCCTTTTTTTAATGTTTTTTCTGGATATAATGAAGCATACTTACAATGAATAAAGGTAGGTATTTGGATGTCCAGAGCTAATACCATCATGGATAGTTTTTTATAATATTACTAGCTGAGCCGGCAAACTTTGTTTTGCCATATAAATAATTTTACTAAAATGTCTATTAAAAAATAAGGGTTGATCGTAGAAGGGTGAAAATTGAGGATTGTGTGTATTTTTGTATGTTGTATCATAAAAACATAGAAATTGAAAATATTGTCTAAAAAATAAATAAAAAAAATTTAAGGGTGAACAACCCTTATCACTTAGGGGGATGAAAAATATATTAGATTTGATTTTGAATATTTCTTTTCTCACAGAGGCACAAACTATATTTGTATTAGTACTGCTATCAAAAAATATAGGGTTTCTTATAATAGTCAAAAACAAATAAAATTCTTCCTTCGTATTTGAATACCCCAGCCATACGATATCGTCACGAGATGTGCCGTCGACTTATGTATGTGTAATGACACATGCCAATTAAATGAACATTCAACATCTGAATTAACCAACTGGGCTTGTTAACGAGTTATATAATGTTTTGGTTAAAGTTATTACGGCTACGGTTGCCAAGATACCGTCACACAATTATACTCGGCCAACAGGAAGCCACTTTACCTGCCGCATACTGATATTCTGTACACATAAGCTTAGTACCTAATACCTTTACTTTATTCGTGTTAACATCATCGCTATTAATTATATGTAGCTATATAAGATATGGAATGTTGTCTTAGTGAAATTCCTTATGTTGATTGGTCTAGATTTACGGTCTTATTTGCATAGAGCTATGCTGAAGGTAAATTAAATATATTTTTTATTATTCATAATTATTTTAATAATAATTATATTATTTTTTAATGAAACTTTTACCGTTTCAAGCTATTAATGTCTTATTCCGTCAAAGAAGGGGATTAGAGCTTAGTACCACCAGGCTTAGGCGCGGGTTGGTGGGCTTTATCGGCTATCACCACAACATTAGAATTAAACATTTCCGTATCCGAATGTATATTTTGGAAAAATTTTAATATCGAATTTCGTCAGACATCGGAATCGCCGGATCGGTGATCTGTAGTAGATCTTACTTATTACTAGACCAACAAGACATACAATTATTGTAATACAAAGACAATAGAGACATAGCGAAGGTGATTGCCCTTCATTATTATGTCAATCGTAGAAATGACAATGGTCGAACATGTACTTCGTGTGTCAAAAATAGTTTCGCGCCATTCCAGTTACTTGGGAGTCTAGCACCATACACGTATACAAAGACAGTTGACAGCTCAGTCCTTATGCAAGGCAAAGCCCGCGGTCACCGACTCTGTCCTGGCCCCCTGGCCCCTCACTCCTCGCACCAAGTACCGCGAAAATGGGCATTTCCACGAACATACCGGAACTGGGATCGCCGACGAAAATACATTATTGGTTTATAGCTTTGATGACATACGCCCGTTCTTGTTCCCAGAAATAGGCGTACGTTTGAATTTTTACTTTATTGATTCCTAGATTCTACCCGTTCACGGGTTCACTCAATATGGAAGTTAAAGATCACCTTACCAAAGGACAGTAATCAAGGTGATTGGCTTTGTGGGTTCCTTTTAACCAAAAAAACAATTTTTTAACGTTCTTTTGAGTTTCAAACCGTTTAACAAACAAAGGATAATTTCTGTACTTGCATATACGGTGACGGAATTAGAGAATATACAATTGTAATAAAAGAACAATATGGTAAAACCTCTCTTCCTTGTGTGTACTTCATTGGTCGATTTTATTTTGTTTCTCCTGGACAAAACGCAATTACTTACATGTTGAGCCAGGTGATGTAATGTCAAATATATCATTCATCACTTTGAATATTTAAATTGCAACAGTTCAATTCGGTTCCATGAAACTCTATAAATAATACGTTCTATTCATAAACATATTTTATTACAGCCAACATAATATTCGAACACGGAATTACGTAAACGAATAATCTCGCGGCGGAACAATTCCTATTACTCAATATAGGGAACAGGATTACATTTATCTCTGTGTTACTAGTGTTGTTGGGTAAGTGGGGGGCGTTAGCAACACTTGATGTAACCACGAATGCCGCAACCTATCCGTTGACGCAACGTTCAGCTGGTCCTACGGACGTATTAAACAGTCTTACCGATGCGGAAATAATTAGACTATTGCGTAATTCTTTTGAAGTAGCTTCGAACGGCTTTCGTAAATCCGTAGGCAACAGCCTATATATTAATATGACTAGTTATTGAATATCGGTTAACTTGTTTTATATATTACGTTAGTGCTTCTGACAAATCCAAGCAATCCTCTACTGACTGTAATCAAAAGTATTCTGTAACAAATAGAATATTCGTTGACTATAAATGTGACGGGCTCGGTGTTATGGTAGCAATGGCTAATAATCAAGAAGTCGTGGGTTCGATGCCCACCGGGACCAACATGTTTTTAATGAATTTATAATTTCTCTGAAACATATTAGACTTTGTAAATCTGGATATCAAGTGGGTGCTGGGAATATTTAAATGTCGTTTGAATTACGAACTACTATTAACGGATGAAACAGCTTTCAGTCTGTTGATTTCCGAATATCCAAAGCCGAAATAGATCATCAGCGCAGCTTGTTAGATGTTATATGACTTGACTATTTCACCTACCATCAAGTGGACACCCCTTTCTTTCTCGGTTCTCCGTTATCATAAACAACGTAATAATATTGCTATATTTACGATTTAGACTTGTTTTTCTTGACTGTAAGAATAGTGTGTATGTAATGTATAAAACACGTAATTTTATACACGCTTTTAAATGATAAAAAATCACTCTTTCGCACTGGTGAAAGCTTCTAAATTTTGAGTTGTAGTTAACATCTCATTGATTATACATCACTATGTATATATCTATACAAGGCGTTACGTTTAAATAGTTATAAAACCACTTAGCAAGGTCCAGAGTTCATCGAACATAGGTGTATTGTTTACATAAAACACTCCCCCATTTAAAATGCAGGCAGCACACATCGCCTACGATTCTCGATACGAAGTAATGGTCATTATTTAAAAACAGTGCGCACACGTTGACATAATCGCGTTTCCATATTGGGCGAAAAGACATTGTTCGTTGTGTACCCGAACAATAGAGCTAACAGTATGACTTGGACCCCAATTCTGGTTGTTCATAAGACATTTAGCATCGCTAGACAACCGATAGACCATTGAGGTATCATTGGTTTTATACCATATGTCAATTATCTGTAATTATTAATAATAACAATTTATGATTGCCATAGAAGCGATATAGCGCCAACACAGCTCCTGCAACACTCTGAAAGCACAATCTATGCTAATATCATAAAGCTGAAGAGTTTGTTTGTTTGCAATATTTTTGTTGGAGCATTGATTTAGGGAGGCTTTTTACATAAAGCATCATGCCTTAACTACGAAGAACGAATTAATAGTGGGTACTGCGAAAAAACTAACGTCTTTGAGAGATTACGTTGCGAGCGCTGCGGATAAGGTTATGGAAACCGAAAAAAAAGTATAAAAACATTTGCCAGGTCAGCTAGTTGTGTTATAAAAATGGTAATAATTTTTAAAAAGATCCAGTTAAACAATAATAATTAACCACTATATTCGTTGAATACCAATTAATGTTATAAGTTAAAATGGCCAGTGGCAAGCGGCTGGCCGGTAAAACAGCAGAATCAGGGCCCTGCGGTAAGGCTGCTTCTTATTCCGCTCGGATACGGACACTGAGGGACCGGTTGAAGTCTGTAAATTCCGTACATTGTAATTCAGATTGTATGTCGAAATGCACGAGTCGGCATGCGGCTATGCGGATGCCGTAGGGTTTAACGCACTTTGATGTGTGATTATAGAATATTTATACTAAGTATAAAGTAAATGTCTATGTCACGTTTAGAGGGCGCCTCTGACGAATGGCCATAGTTCAGCGCTATCCATCTCTATAGCTCCATCCATTACTATTTTGCGCAAAGGGGAAAGAAAATTTATTTTTTAAGTAAGAAATTAAGGAACACATAAATAACGTAAGATTACTAATACGTAACTGGCTTTAGGGTTGAATAGAACCATAAACGGGGAAAACATATTACTCAAAAAAACACGTTAACGGTTGAAAACGCGAAATATATTATTTAGGTATATTTTGCATTTCAAACCGTTAAAGTGTTTCATATAATGTGTAATACTCGCTTAAACTACAGACAGTACGATATTTAGTTTCGGTTAGGCAAGGTAAATAAGTTTGATGAACTCATTTACCTGTAAATAAATTGATAAAAATATTAGAAAGTGGAAGATATATGAAATAATATACTGTGAATCTTCATAGATCATTATAATTTATAGATAAAGAATGTTATTTCTAGGAAACCGTGTCGTTTCTTCCGCATATCCACCCACTTTATTAATCACTAAATGTCTCGCTGCCAATAAAAGCGCGGCATTTATAGACCTGCCATATAAAACACATAATAAATCTCAGGCAAAAGAATGGTCCGATCCCGTGAACCCAAAACCAACATCATAGAAACTGATTTCAAAGGGATGTCGTTATTCATCCGGCTAACACCCAGCTCAGGTGTTTATGAAAGGGCGCCTGTTCCTATTTGTCTAGGTATAAAAGGAATGCAATTATTATAAAAATTCAAGGATTATAATAGAAGGAACAGGTACACAGTATGGCAACAATAAAACAGACAATGATTACGTTAAGTTCGCCACGACATAGTGAGCAAGCCAAAAATAGAATTCTTGTTTTTCAGTTCGTTAGTTTCTACAAATTCAAAATTGTGTGAAAATCTTTTAGTTTCTGTTTAGAACTTATCCGTACCTACATACCTATCTGTTCCGGATGGACGGTGTAGTAATCTTTAATCATACCTAGTACCTAGATGATGGTAAAATAATATTGACGTTTAATTTAATATGTCGTATCCGACTTCTATTTGTGCTTTGACAATAATAAAAAGAAAATTCCTTTAATACTTGCTTTAGATGGAAGTCTATTGTCTATTAATAAAAATGAAACTTGATCCTGCGAACTGTAATTCGATCATTACCAATGAAATCGGCATTTTCAATATTGTGACATAGTTGAAACTTAACACGAAAAAGCCTACGTCCGTATGTTTGTTATTTGCCGACACATATCACTTTGTTCTGTCACTCTGCAATGATCCGCATTCAAACAGAAGTGCAAAATCCTTAGTTTTCCCATCAAATAATCACAACAGAACCTGATTCCTTTTATTGCTTTTGTTAGCTGCCGCCGAATTTTGCTCTTTTGTCAGAGCTTTGCCGACAAAATTAAAAAATATATAATAGAAGTGATAGTTGTGTTGACATTATATTGACGGCCTTGGTGTGAGAAAAGCTTAGTAAAAAATATCTGTACTTTATTTGTTCAAAGACATATAAGTTTAAATTTAATACATAATCAAATATCAAGTATCGGGTATTTTTTTTATAAAATTTTAGTAGTTGTTATTAGGTAGCTAATAGATATGAATTTGAATAGTATATCCGTGAATATATAAATAAGAAAGTCAATTGAACAGATAGTTATTGTTTGTTTCCGCGGCTAGCCAAAATAGTTAAAGTTACTGATGAAAAAAGCTTTACAGTTTTCAGGCCTTTTATACTTCAAAATTGCACATACGAAACTATGTAAAAATTAAAAGATAATAAGGTTAAAGTTAATCCTACTATTTTCCTAATACTCGACTTTAAATATATAATGATCCATTTATATTTATTTATTGATTATATTTCATCTTAACCTGCGGTTACACCTAAAGTGTCGTTCTTAGACAGTTTTCCAATTTGCCACTAGGGGCGCGCACAAAATGTTTGCTTCGCTAAGTAGCAAATGCGTGTTTAAAAGTAAGTTTTGCGTTTTATCGGTCTATAGCTTATTGTTGGTGATGCCAATTGCCTACTGTTCTTATTTATAAATTTGAGAGTCCCAACGAAAGCTGTAGTCAATAAAGCTATTTTAGCGTCGGTAAAATAACATTTAATTAACAACAACGACAATTTCCGCCACTCAGACATTTAATACGTTTTGTAATTAGTTTATATCTTATATTAGATTATATATATGAAACAATATTGGATGTTTTAAATAAAGCTAAAAATAATAATAGTAATATAAAGTTCAAAGTTATCGTTGTACTCTTCTTTTATACACTATATTATATAACTTATATTGAATCGCGAAAAATATTAAAGTTGACGGATGAAACCCACTTTTCTTTACAATTAGCAGCTTTTTTACTTGTCGATGAATTGTCAATTGTCAATACGTACAATAATAATATGTCAAAGTTGACGTTGATAATCGTTATTGAAGGAGATGTTTGTTAAGAAAACCAAAAACAAACTAACAATTATATTTCATTTCAATTAAATACGTTTTAAAGAAATTTTAATTAAAAAGATATCTGTTATATAGGTCAAAATTCGTCTATACAGGAAAATAAAATGCAAAGCACTATAAAAGAAGTACTAGATGCTTTAGGGTAATTGTTGTGTTGATATTTTTCAAGTTTTCTTGAACGCTCATAAATTAATATTAAAAATAATTTCAGGGTTAATATAGAAGCAGATACAATTCTTAACTACGCACAGAATGATCCCTCTTTTAGCATCAACGTTTCAAATAAGCAAGCTTATGAGTATGCTCACAAACTTGCTTCAAAAGTATCAAGCGGAAAACAATTTCTTAAGAAGTACGAAGAATTAAAAAGTCGCAAGTAAGTATTCATTATTTCATAATTTGTCCTCTGTCGGCCTTTTATCATATAAGGTAAAAAAAAATGTAAACTGGTTTAGAACATGCAAAATATATCCTAAACGTAATTTTATTCTTTTCAGTGCAGAAAATTTAACAAATATTATAGCAATTTTGTATAAATTAGTTTGTGATGAGAAGAAATTTAAAATATCAAAACCAAAAATTTCTCCCAAGCCTACTCTTGGGGACAACAAACATCAAATTACTAAAGAAGACTTACCACAGGTATATATTTAATATTTTTCTTAATTATTAATAACAATTTAGTCATCTTTTTCTATGTAGTTTTGTATATGGTGTGGTTTAGTGGTGTTTTTTTCATTAAAGTAGTTAATATTTCTTAATTATTGTTCATCAGATAAAGGATAAGCTATTAAAAGCAGTCGATGAAAGTAAGAAGCTAGTAATGAAATCATTTGAAGAGAAGGAAGTACAACTACGTCCAAATTGGTATAACAGTTTAGATCTACCTAACTGGCAGAAAGAACATCCATTTATGTCCTGGGACTTTCCTAAAGAACCACTTCCCCTTATTGCATCTTTGGGTATGTATTGATATAACAGATTTTGAAACAACTTAGTCTTAGTCTTAACTTAGTTTATTTATTACAGTCTATATACCAACTATATAGATATTGTTTGAATATATATGTTTTCAAAGATTGAAATAAATATTATGCTGGATGGACTCAAATCCTCAATCAACAGCATATTATAAAAATAAATTTAGTTGCCGTACAGTTATCAGCATACATCAAAATTCTTATCTAGTCATAAAATACTCTAGAGTAAAAATTAATTTTAAAATAACCCTTACACATAAAAGACCACCTCTGTAGCCAAATGGTTAAACGTATTGCCTAGCATTGCGTTAAGCACGAGAGGTCCTGGGTTTGAATCCAGGGAACAAAAATTCGGGAAGTCTTATCAACTACTTGCCTATTAAAAAACGGATAAGTGAAATGGACACAGATATGTGTTCGCCCCATGCCCCACAGGGGGGTAACGGGATTTCAGACACCTTACACATAAAAATGATATTCCAGTCATGTGACAATATTTTGGTCTTGAAATATTGTTAACTGTACTGTTGCATGTATTAAAACGTAATTAGTTATTTTTGTCCCCTGTTACAGCTGTCATACCAGTGATCTCTCAAGAAAATATTATAATAGATGAGCTATTATATGTATTCAATGGAATTCCTGGAAACTATATTGTACACAAGCCTGTCAAAGACATATATGAACCGAGACAATTTTTGATAGCTGAGGATCTGGATGATGCTTTGAAACAAATAGTTCAGCAAATGCTGCCTATTGCATCTAATTATTCAATAGTAAGAAGATTCATTGAGAATTGTGATATGTGGTCTGGACAAGTCTTACATGCCCTTGTCGCTGGGATAGAAATTCTATTAAAGGATTATTATGTAAGTATATTGTTTAACTTTGTTTTGAGTACCCAATAATAAATTTGGCAATGTATATACCATATGCCAACCCAAATTTGGTCAGATTGTGAATCAAGATATATACAACCAACTTCTATTGGGTTCAATACAATTAATTTATCTTTGCATACATTTTGGTTTGTGCTCCAAAGGAGGAAAGAACCAAAAATTCGCGATTGTATTTGTGACACAAGAGACTTCAATTCCTTGAGGGCTTATCGATGATAAAGATATTGTTTAGAATTAATATAAATAAGACGACAATGTTAAATGTGTGGTTATATACATATAAATAAGTTTATATGGTTGATCACTTTGTCTTTGTTATATCAGTAACACAAAACTATGTTAATAATTTGGCTTTTATATTTTCTTTTCAGACTATGATAGCACAATTGGAAACTGAATACATGAATAGAACCCTAACTCTACAGAAGTTGTGGTATTTCATTTTACCGACTATGCATACAATGCAAGTTCTAGCAGCCATCGTGACATCTATTGGCAAGGTTATTATTTTTTCTTTCAATATCTAAATAGTTTACTTTCCTTCAATAACTTTTATATATATAATTATTGAAGAACAGGATTATAGAGCAGCCCAAGCATTCCGTTAGCTTAAACATTGTGTGAACCATGAAGAATGAAAAATTAAACTAAGTGCTTAGTTATCAACCATTAAAATTGTTTATCAGTAACTTGTGTACTACTGTGAAATTACTGAACTCTATCTTTTCAAGAAGTAATTTTACTAATTAATTCGTGTTGTATGCTTTGGGTCGTGGTTAGTAGAACTGCCTTTTTCTTCTAGTATGAAATAGTGTATTTTTGGACAAGTAGTTTATGACAGACCTCAGACACCCAACTTTTTTACGCATTAGTAGGTAAAATTATCATTATTATATACGGGTCATTCCACATTACCTGCGGATGATTTCCCACAATTCCCCATTCCTCGTTTATGGATCAGCAGGTTATCCAACTGTCATGGAAGGATAAATACAATCTAATTCAAGTTAAAGTACAATAATTTTTAAACATCCCATAGAGTGAGCTCCGAGGTGGAGCCGTTTTAACTGTACTCCACGAGAAGACAAGTACTCTGATGGGTGATGTACGTGCACAAGAAATAGCTCTGTTCTTGACGGAGCGTGCGTGTCGTCCCTACTTCGATATATTGGACTGTTGGATACACAAGGGAATAGTGACTGATCCCTTTCATGTAAGTATGCTTTCTTCCTTAACAATAACAAAAGTAATGTAACAAATATTTCAATAGAAGTAAGAGATTTTTAAAATAATATATGTCTATTGAGAAAAACCCATGTTCCTTTAACTATAATGGTGGTGTAGTAATGAATGATATATTAGATTGGTGTAAAAAAGACATTCTCTACTTAAGACGTAAGAGTAATTAACTTTTTTAGTGAAAATTACGTTAAATACTGTCTATAGTAGTAGTACACATTAAAATAAAACACTTTAACGGATTAAAACGCGATATATTAGTTAAACGGGTCTCCCCGTGACCACGGCTGCTGCAAAGCATCCGAAACGTCGGGCCGAAGTTAAAAATCATTTTCAAATAAGTTTTACTAATATATCGCGTTATAAACCGTTAAATTGTTTTATTTAGAAAATTACGTTGTTAAAATTTTTATAAGTTCTGTCAAACTTTTAATTATAACAACTATACTTTTCAGGAATTCATGATACAAGATAATGAGCTTGTGAACAAAGAGGAGTTACCACTGGACTATTCAGCAGACTATTGGGAGAAGAGGTACAGTATCCAAATGGATCGCGTGCCTCAGTTCCTGGAAAAGTTTACTAATATAATCTTGCGCACTGGGAAATATCTAAACGTCATCAGTCAATGTGGTAAGAATATTGTATCTATATGAGACCCATCTTAGTGTAAAAGTAATGACAAAATGTAGCAATGCTTATATTTCTAAAGAGCTACAATCTAGAAATATCTATTTAAGTGATTTTTCTATTCATTTTTCATTAAAAAGTTGAAAAGAGATAAATATTAAATAAAAACACTTTGAATCGCATTTTTAAGAATAGTTCAAAGAAAAAATATCTCGATGTACACAAATGCGATGTATTTATACTATTCTAAATATAATTTTCAGGAAAGTCTATAACGAAAACGAATACCGAAGAAATAAAATACTCGCTACGTCAGCAAAATTATGGCGCCATTATTCAAAAGGCGTATTCTTTTGCGAGCAAATCTCTGCTGGAATTATTACTTAAGGAGTATGATCTGATGGGCCGACTGAAGTCAGTTAAGAACTATTTCCTCATGAGTCAGGGCGACTTTATTGTGCAGTTTATGGATGCGACAGAGCAGGAGTTGTCGAAGAAAATTGATGATATCATACCGTCTAAATTAGAGTCGTTGCTCGGGCTTTGCCTACGGTAAGATTAAAATGTAATAAAACTAATTACGTGGCTAAACACAGGATATATTACCACTTTAAAATCAAAGATCTATCTGAATCTGGCAAAACTACGCCGCCACTCTTTTTATAGTTAAGTTTTATTTTACGTAGACTAACTCAATTTATTGAAAAAATTACTTAGACTTTAATTTAAAATATCTATAGTGTATATTGGAGGTACTTAAATAATTTATGATATTTAAAAAAGCTTTTATAATTGCAAACGGCTAAGAAAGGTGCAATTTTTACTTCATTTTTTAAATTGAATTGTAGTTAAAAATTGTTCACCAAACATCGTAATCATTTGAATATTTACAGACTTTCTGCTGCAAGCCACGATCCTTACAATGAAGATATGCGCGTAGAACTATCGCCTTATGATCTTCAGTTCCAGATGATTAAGATAGTGTCAATCGAAACTAAAGAAGAAAAAGGCAAGTGTATTCTATTGTTATGTATAAACTTTGTATTAATTAGTAACAAATATTTTAAAACATCAAATCATGAAATATGCTATGTATATTTCACTAGGTATTATTAAAAAAGAATGAAGTAATATAATATCACAAGCTTCATAGCCAAAAGTGTATTTATCAAGTCTCTTTCACACAATATCCTATAAATAAGAATGATACAAAATGGTCAGTGTGCGCCATCTTTACTAATAAAGCTAAATTAGCGCCAATAAATTTTTTAGAGGTTATTTGTTCGACCAATCACGCACAGCGTAATTTTTTCCCCTTTTAACTTAATTTAGTGCTTAGATTATAATTGTAATGTTTAGATAGAGTTTTTTATTTATTTTCTACCTAGAAGGCAGTGATCAGTCCACACTATCAGCTATTTTACAAATTTTCTCATTTCCTACAGATAATTTTGGGTTACCCAACTCTCAAAAAAGAGTTACTATGTAGTATAAAAGATTAGAGCTATATACATCTGTAGAATACCGATATTTTTTCAGAATACAAACAGAACAAAGATTGCCCTCCATTAACTGGAATAGAAGCGTTCTCGTTTGGTATGGAAGTGAAATGGCCGGTCTCCCTAATTCTAAACCATAAGGCCATCGCGTGTTATCAAATGATATTCCGTCACCTGTTCTTCTGCAAACATGTAGAGAGATTATTGTGCCGGTAAGTAACCAATCTACATAGGTGGAACTTTTTTTAGATGGTAGATGAGGATAGACAAGCATAGGATTCACTTAACGGTGAGTTTTCCCCCCCTAGCCATGTAAATTTCCCAACAAGATGCCAAAATGGCAAAGCTCTTGGTGTTATTACACCGTTGATTGTTTGCCATACATTGCTATAATAATAGCTATTATTATAGCAATGTATGGCAAACAATCAACGGGTCATGAGGGTTAGATCCCTCACCGGGTTCAACATTTTCTAATAAATTTGTATTTTTTCTGAGAACATTTCGGAATTCATCTGAAAGTCTGACTATTAAATTGGTGGTAGGAATTTTGAAATTCTGTCCGGGTCACAAAACACCGTCAGGCGTCAGCAGATGAAAAAGCCGCGAAATTTATTCGCGTTTCGGTATCAGTCTGATTTTCACTAATCCAAAGCCAAAATATTTAATCACATTTAGATGTTATTTGATTGTGTTATTTCTAGCTCTTTCAAAAAATTATAATTAATAATAATATATTGGCTCCCTCAATTTAACTTCACTGTACAATATCTACAATATTCCATTTTAAATATAAAATACGTAAAAAGGTAATTTCTACCAACTATTATTAAATTGCTTAAAACACCACTATTCTTTGTTTTGCTTCTTATTCTATGAACACCCAGTAAGGTAAAATTACATGTTTTTAGTGTGTGGCTTTACAACAAGGTGGTAAAGAGGTTTTCGGAGGCGCGACTGTACGCAGATGCGTTCGCTCTACGGCAGCGAATGTTGAGTTGCGTACAACACCTGCAGTACTACATGTGCGTTGAGGTTATCGAGCCCTCTTGGTGTCAGCTCATTCAAAATCTTGAAAATGTAAGTATATTTTTTACTTTTCTTAATGTTGTCTGGGAAATGACCCAGAATACTTTTGAATACATTTCTTAATGGTATATATTTATTTGGATTGTTGGTTGTGTTAATTGAAGAAAAATTAAATTAAAAAAATATATTTATTTACGACTGTAATATTATTACGTAACTTAAACATCGTTGGTATTACAATAATTATATTAATTTCTTATATTTTATTAGTATTGTAATTATAATGTTAAATAAATATAAAGGATTAACATTTCCTTATAGAATTTAAATACAAAATAGTATAATATTTTTGTCTTAGTACTTATTTTCTACAGCTTGCAACAATTTCTTTAATGTAGTTTCAAGCCCTTCCATTTTTCTTTCGCACAGCGCAAGCTTTTCTTTTATTTCATCGAACTCTGAAACATATGACTTTTTACTTATCACTACCTTTGCATTTTTGACGATTTTTCTGTCCAATCTGTATATTTGGCAGCGTTCAAAACAACACTTTCCATTCTCAATATCTTCATAATCGTCCCCATATTTTCCCGTTGGCTCTGGGTGTGGTATTTCAATTCTGTTATCTTGGTTTGGTTTCACGATTATACGATATTTAGGCAGAAATTGAGGAAACAGACTTATTCTCGTAGCGAACGGTTTCATGCATAACGTTTTCGGAGTGATAACGTGCAGGTCTTGAATATATTGGGGAAACCACGACCAACACTTCATTGGCTTCGTGTATGATTTACCTATCAGTACACTCTCAAAATATGATATGAGTTTGACTCTCGATATATGCCCAACTAATTCAGCATCCGCTCTTATCTCCTGCGTATCGCTCACAGCTAAACCGTTCAATAAGTTGAACAAAACAATGGGTATCATGAAAACAAATACAATAAAAATTATGTGACTCGTAACTGGGAATGTACTAAATTTAATTGAACTGGCATCAAATTCGCCCGTTAACATAACGATCGTTTTAAATAGGGATCTCCCAGGATCTTCGAAGAAATCTTCTTCTTCGTCTTCCTCTGGCACTATATTCGGATTTGGCGCTTTTTGTTCATCTTCAACGTCTTTTCTGAATAAGGTATAGAAGCTCAAAGCAAACGCTATTATAAGAATACAATACCATAATAAGAATTTAAAGAAATTCCAAGAAACTGTCTTCAACATTACTATGTTTGTTGATAGTGTAGGAAATTGTCCTATGAGCAGGACAAGCTCAGCAGATGAGAGTAATATCGCTACTGCAGATAATTGTTGTTTCGTCGATTCTTGTGCAGAATCATAGCACACTATCCAAGCAGTAACAAAAATCAAAGCAATTTCCATCCAGTTTTCTATACTTTGAAGATACCGTGTAGGAGATACTAGAAGCTGGAATAATTCTCGAATGATTAACAAAATAAGTCCAATACTAGCGCCAATGTGAGTGACAACATTTAAAGCTTCGATGGATTTTGGCTGTTGTTTCTCAACTCCATAGCCCAGAATTATATAAAGCATCAAACATAGCCAAAGTAAAGAATAAAATGTGATATTCGCATAGAACAGACAGCTTATTCTCTGCCATTTTAGATATAGAAAACTAGTTATGACTGGATGCTTTAACAGTGGTCGAAGCTCTTCGTTTCTAGTCATGTATAAAAGTGCTTCAGTTTCTGGGGCCAAAATAGTATCATATTCCTTGTCTATGTTGTTATTCGATTTATCCATTAAAGGTATTTTACTCATTTCATTTTCCAGAGAGTTATTCGGATACACAAGGAAACTGTATTTCATATGAATTTCATAGTCGTCATCACTTGGTCGTTCTCCGTTCGTTGTAATACATTCGTCCAAATAAGTTTCTAGAGTTTTAGCGTTGATGTCTGCTAAGGGAGGTTCGTCGAACTTATTTCGAAGTCCAATACAAGCTCCGTTCCTTAATAAGTCCAATACAGTATCTGTATCTCCATTTCTAGCAGCGTAATGTAAAGCTGTGTTGTCTTTTATATCTTGGTGGTTTACATCTGTGTTTATTTTTGGATGTTTCAATAACAGCTCCAAGCAGTTTTTAAAATCGACTTTTGGACTTTTAGAACCGGAACGCATACCCTTTATTGTTATTTGTAAAAGTGATTCACCATTTACAGAATCGAATAATGTTGATTCGTGATCGATGTACAATTTGAGAATTCGATTGTATCCGTTATGACACGCGATAGCTACAGGTCGCACTGTGTTGCCCGAACAAGTAGCGTTGGGATCTGCTCCATTATTTAATAAGACAAATACTACTTTTTCAAAACCTTTATCCGTTGCTTGTTGTAACATGGTATGAATACCGTTGCTAGCCGCTAGAACTGACCGATGTTCATTTTTCTTTACCAGCTTGTTAAAATCTCGAACAAAATTATCTTCTTCATGTCTACTGAGGTATGAAAACAATTTATCAGGGTCAATGGATTCAGCAATTTCAGAACTAGAATCGAATCTAGATACTAGATGTGGAAAAGCTTCTTGTAGGAAGTATCTTGCAGTTTTTCCTCTGAAATCTTTATAAGCATCTAAATCAACCGGTTCGGTGGAATAGTCTAATATATACGTTATAACTCTCTCGAGGCCCTGTTTTGCAGCGGAATATACTGGCGTAACGCCCTTTTGGTCTGGAGCATTTGCGTTGCATCCGGATTTTAATAGTAGTTCCACCATGTCCTCATAAACTGCTAATTCTCTTTCGCGATCATCGTCTAAATCTTGGATTTGCTTAATTGCCAGTAGAAGAGCAGTATTACCTTTGCATTTAATATTAACATCGATTCGGTCGTCTTCCAAGAGTAATGCTAAAGCATCTAAATTCCCGCTCTCAACAGCAAAATGTATGGGCGCTGCACCATGTGTTTCATTAAGGTGATTAACTTGGACTTCATGTTGTAACAGAAGTTTCACGAATTCTTTTTTGCTAGGCTCTGACACGGCGAGTTCGAGACAAGTCTTATAATCGGGATATTGGTATACATATTCGAGATCCACTGCGCCGTAGCTTACTAACTTCTTAAACGTTGCGAAGTCATTTGTTCTTAGCGCCGTTCTGAGTTGAGTTTGGGGATCTCCGCCAAAAAGAGACCCACCGCGGGACAACCGGTTATTCATTTCGTAGGTGTCGCGTGTCATGTCTCAATACCGGGCATCTGGAATGAAAGATCAGTAATTAAAGCAAACAAAATTAAACAATTAAATGAAAATTTCGGTCCTTAAAATGTAATCGTTTATGCTATTATTCAATTGATGAAAATTGTCAAAATGTAAATGCGTTGAGTATGCCCAAATTGTACGTATCGTTTACTTTTGGCTCTGTATACAGAGTTCATCTAAGCGTCAATTTGATTAGGAAAGCTAAATACTCGTGTAAACCTCCGTGTGAACGTATCTTGATTGGCATTTAGCCTCAATAATCGATAATCTCTCTGTTTTGTTACAGCTGTGTCTGTAAACTTTTTTAAACTATCTGTAAATGTTTTGTATCTGTTGTAGTATCATGTTTATGAACACGGGAAAACAGAAAATTAACAGTTACTGTGTTATTGATTGTGAATCAATCATAAATTTTAATGAGCTCATTCGATATAGTCCGACGAAAGCATTAATGAGGGGGGCAATTATTCAAAAATTCTCTTCTATTCTACAGTACGCTGGCACGTGCGTAAGGCCGGTAATTATTTTGATTTGCACTATTCACCATAAATTTATACAATCATATAATTGCTCCCTTCTAAAGCTTTACTGTTTTTTTGTATCTAATTTAATGAGAGATAGCGGAACGGTTGTACGAGTAACTCGATAAGGTTCGGTAGTGGGCTTATAATCTGTTTTTATTGTGCGTTTGAATGTAGAATACCCGCATGTTTTGGCTTTCATGATCGTGAGCGTGACACACGATCGAGGGTCGGCTGTTGCCTTTTAACTACTTTTAACAACATGTTTCAAAATTATATACTAAATCTTGCATACAGTGCATCATTTGCATTATTAGGATACCATAATTACTCGTATCACTTATATCTTCGTTATCCGTGTTTAAGCCTAACTAAAGAAATAATAGGTTTTGCTTACGGTAGATTTTTTCGGTTCTGTAGCTTAAAGGAAACGCGTGTACAAGCTTACAGTGGGAATTCTACCGCAACCACGAATTTGCTACAACTAGAGATCACTTGGATTTACTAGAGTATTCATTTTAGTAACAATGATTGCTTTTCTTGAATGACTAATTGAACCACTGGTTAAACAATGCGTTTAACTAAACCTAGTGTTGCATTAACCTGAGTTGCACACGAGAATCCTGAAATTAGGAAAACGTAATAAATTCCGATGAAAATTCCTGTATTTAAATAAAACACTTCAACGGTTTAAAACGCGATATATTTTAGTTACACTTGTTTGTTTATTTAAATGTTTACAACTCGCGTAAACTACAGACAGTATTGAATATTTTTGTAAATAAATATAATTTCACTTGTTTTAAAGTACCCACTGAATTTGTAAATGGCCTGGAACGCACTTTCTTTTACTCTGCTCGGCCATCGGAACGTCATAGCATAGAATTGAGATAACACACATGTTCAAGCGAATGAGCTAAATTCGTTACAATGGAGCGTCCGCTATAGTCTCTATTGTACTACGCACCTGCTGTTTACCATTCATTTAGGGTGTTTGATTTATGATCGATTTAAATCGTTAATCCGATTTTACAGGTATTTTTAATCGCCCCGTTTGATGTACTATATACTGTAATAGCGGATCCGGTAAACGTTGTTTTGTTGTTTGCGACATTAGTATTCTTAGAGTTGTAAGAAATAATTAAGGCACTTATTGCAAACCAAATTTGATTACTATAAAACGGTTCTTGCGAGTTTGTCTTAAAATAAATGCATATACGTATGTCTTGGACTAGAATTAATCTTTTATAGGTACATATTTTTTGGTTTCATGACTGAACCTATTTTTGTAGCGCACGCAACGGAGGCTCTCAAAGAGGATTTCTCCATTTTTTCCCACATTTTCCACTCTTTATTCGCTAATATTCTATCCTGTAAAATGAAACAGATCCATTTCTGTGTCTGTTTCATTTTAGAGAGGGTTTTTATTAGGTGTTAGACTTCCATTGGAAACTTTTATATTTTACTAAGATTCGAACCTGGGGCTTATGGCGCTCAACGCATGGCATTTAACAAAAAACAAATACTTGCTGCATTATTTTTTTAAATTGGAGATGTCTAGCAAATCATGCGCAGGAAGTATCAATTTATACATTGACTCACTTTATTATTTGTACTTGTACGTACAAAGGTAGGTGTAGGAAAATCTAATGTAAGCATCGCGGCTTACGTTACAAGCGTAAACGTAAGCGAAATATAATATATAAGCCTGTTAATTTCGTTTAATTAAAGAATAATACACCTAGTATTATTCTTTAAATAAAATACGTTTAACAGTTTAAAACGCGAAATGTATGTTTCGGGTGAAATGTAATTTATAATTTTCACCCGACGTTTCCGATGTTTAGCTACTGTTGTGGTCACAGGGGGGACATATATATTATTATTATATCATTTCGGTTAAAGAGCAGTATGTAAAAACTCGGTAGATCAACAATCAAAAAACTTTTCATTCTTGACCTTTGAAATACCATTACACCTTATTTCTTAAGAGTTATACTGAAAAAGTAATTTTATGTCCTGTTGTTACTCAAGGAGACGGTCACACTACCCCTGTAGTTGTAAAGTTGGTCATATTATAAAAACAAAAAATATGAACCAGTTAAAATAAGTTTAAGATATAAGTGTTTCAATTTGTACTACTCGGTTTAACTACAGACTATTCTAGGCTCACTCTTAAATGTGAAGAAAAGTCAAGACTTCTGTGACTCTGAGGTTAAAGGAGTACCTATATCGTACGGATAAAGCAGAGATATTCAAAGATTTCGACATACTCTGTAAGTTACGTATACGATATCAGCAAACCCCATCGTCGCTGTTTGCGCTTTGTGTTTATTTTGGTAGTCGCGATGTTTGATTCATATGTTAAACAGCGGACTTATTTAATCCTCACAAAGGCAAGATAAAAAAGACATGCACACATTTGTGTAAAGTTAGTAATGATATAATAGTGTAGTCTTTAAATTATGAAAAGGAATGTGTAAGTCAGTCATTCTATTCTTGTACCTCGAAATCTTATAGTGGTACTTTAAAATATACCTGTCATACAAAGTATATGAAACAGTAAAATGTGTAAAAACAAATTTGTTGGTAAAATTTAACATTTAAGACAAGGTAATTGTATGCCTTAAATGACCTATCTAACAAATGTGCTTATTTTTTTATGACGTTACTTTGTATTTTGTTTTACGTTTTAAGAATAACTGAATTTTTAAGATCTACACGCTGTCTAAATTCATACAGTCTATACTGCTAAAAACATTACTCTTCCCGTTGGCTTCGGGTAGAAATAAATGTAGTAATACATACTTACAACTTTCATTATTCTAAACGTTTGAAAGTTAAACGGTTAACTTAATTGAATGACTTCAGAGAAATGTTAAATGCTAACAGCGGGAATAATCATTCTAACATAGTGTGTGTTTTATTGACGTTATTAATATTAAACCGGTTTTAAGAAATTATTAACATATTTTTATTTCTATATGTGAGCCTTTACGTAATACAATCTGACCTATACCTTGCGACGCGAGTTGAAAACCCTCTAAAATTGTTTGAAACTTGATCAATATATTTTTAAGTATGTATTTTAAATAAACTACATGAGTAGCACATTCTACCAAACTTTGAACGGTTTAAAATGAGAAATATATAAGTTAACTAACCTACAATGAACTCTAATTACGTCGGGTCCTAGTTGGTATAAATTGTTATATTGTTAGTTAGCTAATATATTTCGCGTTTGAAACCCGAAAACCGATCCGTTCTTAATTACTTTTTATTGCTAAAAATCAGTACCCCGTGTTGAAATTCTTTAAATGAAGTTCGCGTTTTAAATTTTTTTAATCAATTCATTTAATAGTTTCCCTCAATTATGAATACTTTGTTGTAGTTTTGCGTAATACCTTGAACATAAAATGCGGGTTATAATGATCATATCTCCATTGATGAATGAAACGTGACTAACTCAGGGAGCGTTCACGAAAGAAAGCTTGTATCACAATCATTTCTAATAAGCTAAGGCGAAATAACCAAATTATCGTGAAGAACTATAATTACGATAGTTGGAGCATCCGTTCGACCGAATAAAGATGATTAGAGAGACAAGTATGTTGTGTTTAGACTAGTGTGGGTTCCTTGAAAGCTTAACTTACTTAAACACAATTGTTAGAAACTTTGAGAAGTACTTGCACACCTCAAACTTAAAGTATGTAGGCATTACTAGCTGTGTCAGCGACGTCCGCGTAGAACAGTTATTTTAGACATCCAAATTCGTTGTTCGTCCCTTCCCGTCGTTCTTAAAAGTTAATCTTAAAAGATAGACATATAGCGTTCTGGACTTTTTTTTAGATCATTTAAAGAGGAATCATTATTTATTCACATTTCTCGCTGTGTCTGCGCTTGCATTAGTCATAGAGTGATGTTTTAAAGCCTTCCCCGATAAATGTTCTAACCGACACAAAAATAATTTTTCAATTCGAACCCGTAGGTAGTTCCTGAGATTAGCGCGTTCAAACATACAAACAAACAAACTCTTTAGCTATATATATTAGTAAAGATATATATGATTAAAAGATCTAGTATAATTATACACAACGGTTTCTAAATTTTACTCAAGTACCCTAAAGTATGTTACGTACGGCACACAAGTTAATTTGTACGCTTCCTCATCTCGGGCTTTTGTCAACATTGTGCTTAATTTGTTTTGCCCTAAATGCCAGTTTTGTTTATCATATTTTCTAATACTTTCTACGTTTATAGAAACTACTAATGAATATAACCTAAATGTCGAGAATGCGCGTGTTCAAGCGTCTTCATATTGTTAGTATCATCTGACCTTTTTAAGTTCCCACTGCTGGGACTCACAAGTTCGTGCTGGCATTACGTCGATTCTTGTGAACCTCATACAACTAATCCAACTAGCTCTCTCATATCTGCATGACCCGACATTAAATAACCAACATTTGTTGTTTTAATTTTATTTTAGATGACCCAAACTTTCTTTTGCCATATGAAGTATTTCGAAGAAATTTTATTTCCATTAAAACGGTTCTTGTGAGTTAATCTTAAAAGATAGACATTTAATATCGCAAATATTTAATTAAATACATTTTCTCCGGTTTTCTACATTTACTGTTTTTCAATCATATCGGTCGCAAATGGACGCTTTAGAGCAAAAATCTTCTCGATATATGCTGACAAGAATTTTTCAACTCGAACCACTAGTTCCTGAGATTAGCGCGTTCAAACAAACTTTTCATCTTTATAATACTGGTATAGATATAAAAAATAATTTAAATTTAAATAATAACGATCAGTCAACCACGATCTTGATAGCGGGATGTTTATTTTGGCAGTGATCGGTGCAATTTCTGTGTTTACATACCAGGTTAATTACACTCAATATCGGAGTACTTAATCGCCGATAAAGTTTATGCATAATTCTGGATCGTTTACGACACCCTACAGTGAAATTAAACTGTACCGTTCGCTGCTATTTCGGATCGCTGGAGCGGCGCGATTTTGAGAACAGTTTTTACGAAGATCATTGCTACATTTAAACCTACATAGCCGGGCACTTTCCATCCGCCGCTGTTCGTTCCGCACGGCGGATATTCTCCATCTCGTCTCTGTATGTTGTTTTGTTTCACGCTTTTTAAAGTTACTTTATGCGGCCTTGGCGACTTTTAAACAGCTGAACATTTTTCCTATTTAAACCCCTAAGTTTTTTATAAGCACGACGATGGCTCATTATTATTGACTAGCTGTGTCCGCGACTTCGTCCGCGACCCATCGTTCTCGCAAGTTAATCTTAAAAGATGTACATGTAGTGGCGTTTTCTTAGATCGTTTATAGAGAAATCAATCTATAAGCACATTTTCGGAGCGCACGCAACTAAAACCCAATAAGATGAATTATCCCCGTTTTTGCCACATTTCCCACTGTGTCTTCGCTATTTGTCGCAGCGTGATGTTTTATAGCCTGAAGCCTTCCTCGAGAAATGCTCTGCATCTACATTATTTTTTAAATTTGCTCTTGAGATCAGCGCCTTCAAACAAACAAACTCTTCAGGTCTATAATATTAATATAGATTTAAGTAGCTATTCAAATGCCATATCACCAGTCTTGAAACTACTGTATAATATTTATTCAGTAAGGATTGACACATCCATATCTGTATAACATTGTTAGGTGATAAGTGTTCGTAGCCACTTCCACTGTATATGGAATACCGTTTATTGGTTACTGTGCCGGAAATTTGTAATGTATTCACAAAACAAACGAGAGCGTATTATGCGATTGTCTGTGCACCCTATTTGGAGTCACGAGCGCCCACGGCCGATGTGGTTGGAGTGTCATCGTCATCGACCATTGCATCAGTGTTTGTGGTCATATCGTAAAAATACTAATATAACTACGTAACCAAATGCTATTTATAAATAAATTGACTAAACCAATCATAAACTAACGCACACTATGTTAAATCTATACTTATTTCATAAAGCTGAAGAGTCTGTATGATCGCGGTAATCGCAAGGACTACTGGTTCGAATTGAAAAATTATTTGTTGGTTGGCCCATTTATCGACGAAGGCTTTAGGATATAAAGTATCAGGCTGCGACAAATAGGAGCGAAGAAACAGTGGAAAAATGGGGAAAAAACGGGGGAAAATGTATCTTTGAGGGTTTGCGTTTACTAAAATTCCTCTTAGAGTATATGTATATAGTTTAATATTATCTCACAAGAATCGTTATGGTGATAAAATTTTGTCGAAATACTTTATAAATGCGAAAGAACGTTTTTCGGGTCAGGTAGTACAATATGTAAGCAAGTTTTGATGTAAAGTGTGTCAATATTCACTTCGCGTTAAATAAAACAATTTAAAAAGGTCAATAACAATAAAATTGATCTTTCAGAGATATTAATAATTACATTTTACTGCCGACGACATCTCGAGAATGCTCAATACATATGATCTCATTTCGACTTACTGAGTATCAAATACGAATGGGTATAAGAAACATTTATAACAATTATAATAAGACACTTTTAACTGTTTAAAACACGAAATAAATAGGTTTAATTCTTTTGAACGTGTAGGTTGCTTTGCAGCAGCCTTTTCATGGCGAAATGGTAATAGGTTTTGTACTTGAACATAAATTAACTAACAATTATAATATATTTAATAAAAGTTTTTAATTTTTTCGGTTTGAATTGAACCTCATACGGCTCCACATAAAACTAATCAGCGCTCATCGTTACGCAGAATCGTAATGAGTTTTATACATAATTCACAAATAAAGTGCACGAACAGGTTTCAGCGGTCAGTAAGTACTACGTAAGCCGTGAGAACACAGCGACCTATTCCTTGATTGAATTGAATGTTGTCCAAATCGATTGCTTTCCAATACACTAGAGCACTTTTCAGCTGTCTACTTGTAAATGTCAGCTGTAATCTTTTGTTCGGCTCTTTTTCTCATGATATGTCGAGTTATGCAAGTCTATCCTATTCGTCTTTCTATGTACTAGGTGAATATTAAATTGGTTTCAAGATAGGTAAACGTTTCTCAGTTTCAATTGTATTTAAATAAATTAAATATTGTATTGGTTTAGTTTTGAGAGATGGCGTTCTTGTAAGTTTCTTTCCAGTTTATACATACATACTTGCAACTAAAAATCAAGCCATTATTTTCAAGAACCGTACTCTTTCTCGAACTATTTTGGCATCTTTTACTAATTCTAAATAATAGTCTTATCTATTCAGGCACTAGATTTTTGTGTAGTAAATACCTAGTTCTGGCAAGGTTTTTGTTGAACCGTAACAGTAATTTATTAAATAGTTAAGTTTTTTATTTTACTTTTTATAGGTTATGTTACCGAATAGAACTGAAATTTACAAATTTTCAATAGTAATATCGATATATTAGAACTATCATTATAATCTACTTGGAATTATAAGTTTAGCCTAGCCGTCCTCCGATCAGTTAGATTCATATAGAATTGTTTTGTACCAAATACCTTTGATAAGTTAAGTGGCAGTGTAGCTTAAGAAGCTTATTTTATTGTAATAAAACACTTCAACGGTTTAAAACGCGATATATTAGTTAAACTTATTTGAAAATGATTTTTAACTTCGGCTCAACGTTTTAATAAGTTTAACTAATATATCGCATTTTAAACCGTTAGTGTTTTACTTACATGTGTACTACTCGCGTAAACTATAGACAGTATTTAAGCGTATTTCATTCAGCCGTATACAAGCTAAGGCGGATTGTAAATCAATACCTTTTGCAAATAAGAACCTGACCAGTTACTAGAACCTGACTCGACATTCGAAATGCATTTGCAATCTAACGAGTGCATTGTCCCACGAGTGTTCTAACATCAAGTTATATAAGTCTGGCATAGTAATTTATCAATTACCACTTCCCCAGAGGATCTGACCCGAATGTCCTGCATCACAAATGACGTCATCGTTTCGACCTTGTTCAGGGCTCAGCCAACACATGTAGTGATCCCAGCTCAATATTTACACCCGCATATGTTAATAGTATTGAACAATTTGGACGTGTTTTTCGATTAAACAAAGGACAAGCGGTTTTAAATAATCAACGATCGAAGAGAAACTAACGTGGTTCAAAGATTAACTGTGTATAGATAGGGGCGTTTAGATCACCAATACAAGTCGTATTTTGATTTATTGGGTTTTTAGTATGGTTAACATTAACCATTTTGCAGTGAGATACGTTTTGAGTGCGTAATATTCTTCCAAAGGAAGGTTCACAGTGTTGCAAACGGACCAATGAATTTAAGCGTCGCATTTGTTTTCTCTGTGTTCGTCCATGAAGAGGGATAAAGAATTCGCAAAATCATTTTATACACCATATCAAATGCGCATACTAAGCTTAAAAGAACTTTAAACGATAACAACTGTTAATATACGATAGAAATATGACGACACTAATTAAAAATCAACAAACTACGTTTATTTTTCTGTATAGACAATGATAGTATAGATGTGAACCCACCTGAACAATAAAACACTGAAAATTCACAATCACAACCACTTGTTTTGTTCACTGACTCTGTCTGCACTCGATGACGTGCCGCGCCATTCAACCTCTTGTTTTGAGTGAGGAGTGGACGCGCGAGCGCAGGCGAATGGTAGGCGGTCGCAACTTGCTGATCCTAATGGCTAATTCAATTAGGCTCCTTCCAGACTACATTATGATATACTATCGTAATAGCGCAGTATCGCATGCCGTTTAATGTAATAAAAACACTCACATTTGAATGAAATATACTTGGCTTACTGTAACCATGGTACAATGCGCGATGTTAAGTATTGTAGTAGTTATGGTAGTAGTATGCATTAAAAATACATTTAACGGTTTAAAACACAAAGCATATTAATTATTTGGTTTTTAAGTTTGAAAATTGTTGAATTTTGATTTTAATGCGCGATATTGTTGCGAATAATATTTTATTATAACTTTTTTTTAAAAATGTTTTTTTTTCCCCCTTGCCCCCCCTTTTATTTTTTTTTTTTTTTTTTTTTTTTTTTTCCCCCCCTAAATTTTCTTTTTTCTTTCCCCCTTGTGTGGTTTTTTTTTTTTTTTTTTTTCCCACCAAAACATAATATGTCGAAGGACGAAAATTTTGTGTAAATTGTGTAATGAACATTCGATTGCTTGTTTTATATTACCATGCATTTTAACGTCTCTTTTGCAATAGTCTTTTCGCAGTGGGCGGAGCGGTTTTTTCGGATTCCTTGTAGGCGTTGCTTGACCCGACGTCACAAGGCTGCGTTACTCATGCTGTATCAGACAGAATTTTGTTTTTATATCGTTTTGGGATTCTTAGTACATTCTCATTTCTCATTGACCAATTGTGGTAAAAGTTTCATTTTTAATTCTAGAAACTGCATAACGATAGGCACCAAATTACATAGCTGTTAAATAATTTACATGAGATTGTCCGAAATTGTCATTTTCTAATAGGTCAAATCATTAATGACTCAACCGACCTTAGGTCATTAGCAACGTTGTCACTACGTCTCCATTAAGCAAATGAGACTGTTAAAAAAAGTCATTCTGTGAGGTAACTTTTTACCTACCTTTTGAAAATTACCTGCTGGAATTATAAACAACTAGATGTGTCAGCGACTTCGTCCGCATTTTTTTTTTTTTTTTTTTTGCAAAGCTCCTCATTTTTATAAATTATAACTCTTACTAACGATGTCGCCCGAGTCCTGTTTTTGCAAGTTTATCTTAAAATAAGGACATATACTGTCGCGGACCTTCTTTTAGCCCCTTAAAGAGGAATTACTCCTTCATACATATTTTTAGGTATCTCTGAAATCGGCTCAACGTTTTCATAGAGTTTCCACATTTACCACTATATGTTCTATTAGTCGCATTATGATGTTTGCTATGTCTAAAGGCTTCCTCGATAAATGCTCTAACCAACAAAAAAATACATTTTTGATTCGGACCAAAAGTTCCTGAGATAAGAGCATTCATACAAACAAAACAATTAAACTAGATTTAGATAGGCAATAGAGATCAACAAGCAAATTCCGTCTAAACTAAACTGGTTGTCTGAATACTCAATCCCCAATTTCAATAATACATTCTGTCCTACACAAAGTAAATATTATGTTTTACTAATTCAGTGTAATTTTAAACTTTAGGTGAACAACGTGGACGAAGTTCTAGACCGGCACAACGATTTCTTGGAGTCGTGTCTGGGCGACTGCATGCTGACCAAACCCCAACTCTTGAAAGCCTTCACCACGCTACTTCTCGTCTGCGTACAATTTTGCACTTTTATACAGGTATGCGTAAAGCCCATGAGGTTTTCTATTATGGCAATGCATGGTGTATGTTAACTGGTTATATATATACTATTCTTTATACAAATTTGGCGCCCTGTAAATGGCAGTAACAAAAATTATATAAGTAGCATTTGAGGAAGGAGAACGTCCACCGTTTTTAGAAATATATTTTCAAATTATTGATGTATAGAAGCCAAATTATTCTTAGCTTTTACTTTGCTTCTTTCTTACGCGCATTGACCTTTCTAATCAAGGGCGGATCCAGTTATTTGGAAATTTGTATCTTTAATTTCGTCTAACGAACCCCCTCCTTTTAAATAAAACACGTTAAAGGTTTAAAACGCGATATATTAGTTATTACCTTATTTAAAAAATTATTTTTAACGTCGGGCCGAATATATTAGTTAATTTTGCGTTTTAAACCGTTAGTGTTTTATTTAAATGTGTACTACTCGCGTAAACTATAGACAGTATTTGAACCCCTTTTGATCCGCCCTTGGTTTCAATTGATATTTTTACACCTATACGCTTTGTACTAGGGTTCTATATGATTTCTTATTTTATTGTTCAACGCTACCAAAACATTAATTGGCAAAGGAGATGCACAAGTACTTCGTGGATGCAGAGCTAAACAGTATGCTCGGATCGACGTATGACAATACAGATTATTGTGAGGTACTTCTATATTATTAGTTTTGGAGCACTCGTTCGTCGATACGTCACGCGCACACTTCACACATTTGCGATCACGGTCGTTTAACGTGGTTTAATATTTCATTTTTGACGTATATTGCTTTTATCAGCAATTTCGCCACCCAATACGTATTAAACATACTAACTAAATAGCACTTTTTCACTGAGAACATTGTTAGATATAAAATTAAAAATGCTTCAATGTATGGAACAACAAAAATATCTTTTTACAAACCTTATAGAACCAACTCATTTTGAATACTAGGCATTAAATTTGAATATAGCGGTACTTACAATTTTACTTCTTTTTAATAATTATGTTTCCTCTAAATAAAATATATTTATTGAGATTTCGAGAAGTATTTTATGGTCTTATTTAGACTAGCATAAGACCATGGTAAATTTGGTTTAGGTTAACACATTTAAGTTTTAATGGACTAAAATGTTTTAACTTTACATTTTTACTCAACTATTAATAAACTCGATTCTAACACCCTACCTACCCTACATGTTAGGCCGTAATCATAATTAGATAGAAGTACTGTCTCCATGTAGTATTTGTGTGCGAAATCATTGACGTGCTCTTTATTTTTTCATGACTCTTCTTTTCTTAGAACGCGCCGGTAAGTATACCTTTTTACGTTTATCTTGCATTGTAAATGTTGTTACACTAACTTTCATAGCATTTATTCTTCATAAGCAACTTTTAAAAATGTATGGTATTCTAGTTGATAATTGTAGTTCTTTGGGGATGAGGGTGTTAAATTATTACTTCTTTTTTCAAATAAATAACTTGTATATTGGTCAACTGACTATAAGTGTCAATTCTTATAGTCAGTTGACCATAATGAGGCAATAGAAGTCCAATCTAGTGCTTTGCTAGGCTTCTTCGATTCACACTCTATTATAAATTTCGTTTCCGTTTTAATTGGTTTCGGCGAATATAGTATAATTGCATTTTTTTTATTACCTAAAACAATATTTTTTTTCCATAACTATATATTAGTATTATTTTTATTCTTCCTTGCATTGTATTATTTACATTTTATACCGTATAGGAGAACACCGGTGGTACGACGAGTAGCGGTTCGGCTGATTCGTTCTCCCAATCTGTATCGCGTTATGGTCTACGCTTCACCGCCGGACTTCTCTCTGTATTGGGGATAATTGAGCGCATGGCACGGGACAATACCGCGAATAAACTTGTCAATATATCGGCAAGGTACGTATCGAGAAACAAAAAAAGAAATGAAATTTTATTAAGGTCAGAATTATTTTTTATATTGTGTTTCTTCAAAAGTCCACTTTATTAAGGAAAATTAAAATATATTTTAAATTTATATTAATAATTACAGGTTGAAATTCAACACGTATTATGCCCAGCAGCTGGAGAAATTCTGCGCCGATGGCAAGTTTCTCGGTATTGACGTGAGAGGGAGCTCCTAGCGGCGACAAAAGCGGACTCGCGCACCACGAGTTACTGCTGTGTGAAGTACCACAGCTTTATAATATCCAAGTGAAAGTTAAGGATTGTAATTTAAAAAAAATAGTCGTCACCCAAAATTGGCTACTGTCCCTTTTTGTAAAATTTCCGAAGCGCACGCGCATTTTCTTATTAGAAGCCGCCTTTAGTTTGAAAGACAATGACAAATATGAAATTCGTGTATAATTAATATTATTGCCTTTATAGGACTTGCACGTCGCAAACATTTCATAATAATATTTGTATGGTTATTAATAATAATCATTTGTCTATGCCATGCCTGAGTAGAGATTATACATTATAGGCAATGTAGTGGTATTCCATAGAAATTTGGCCATCGAGAATTCAATAACGATATGAATTTTTAAGTTTGTATCTTTCGATTTATGTATTTCACTTTTCTTTTTGAATTTAACAAGTGCACATGAGGTTGGTAGAGACAGAGTGGCATATTAACAAAAAAGCATAATTTTTAATAAAAACACGCAATTAACTTAGGCGAAAATAAATTTGTCCTATTATTCGTGTAAGAATTATCTTAACAATTTTCGGTCACTGTGCTCTTGTAGATTAACATTTTAAGACTATATGAATAACTCAAGTCATAAAATTGCAGTTAGGCCACTCTACCTCTAGCGGCCTCATATAACCTAATATATAAATGGTTAATGATAATGAGAAAAATGACCATGGCATTAATAATGACTAAAATACTTTAATAATGCTCTCTAAAAAATATTTAAAATTTTTCTCTTGATATTAACCAAGGATCTCGAAAACGATATTAAGCAAGTACAATATTGTGATTTTAATCGATTGTGTGTTTGTGTTTAATATTTTTCACATGTTATTGCACATGAAGGCACTATATAATTTACAAGCACGAAACGCTGACGATGGCGGTTGAAGTCCTGCCCGAGTCAAACAATTTTTCAATTAATTTTTGATTGTTAATTTTTTTTTAATGTGTGTTGGTGATCAAACTTTACAATAATGTACGAAATAGTTACACATTGATAACATCGAAAAACTTTAATAGAATTGTCCGTATTAGATTTCTAAATAAGATTAAAAAATAGCAGTTTACAAAGCAGAAGTAGAAAGTATTTTTTTAGAATTCAAAAAATATTTTTACATTAAATGTTTATTACTAGGCGCTATAAACACACAGTTCTATTTTGAATAGTAAAAGTATACTAAAATAGTTTTAAAACCAATAATGTATTTTACAACCACCTTAGTCATGTTTTTAAGTAAGATTTCATCACTAGTCATCAAATTTATTAAATAAACAATAATACTGTGAATCTAAACACAATTGCCATTGTAGTCCAGTCCATGTAAGACGCAAGTATATAAGAACGGATTATTCAAAATCCTATCTACGTAGCATCCTTATTCCAAAAACATTTCGTTTAGTATATAAGAAATTGTTTCCTTAGCCAATAGTCCAATTAGGAATAGACAAAAGGTATTTTTGAGAAGTGCCATTGTAGCTTTTAATTATATTAGAGTGTGTTGACCGTGATTAGAATGCCTGTGGTTGCAATGTACCCTATAGTTGTTTAGAAGTTGCCATTCCATTAAATTTTTTATTCTTAGTATTACTTATGCTTCGAATTTGTCCAATCAAAGGATTTAAATAAAACACTTTAACGGTTTAAAACGCGAATTATTAGTTAAACTTATTTGAATATGATTTTTAACTGGGAGACTCCCCGTGACCACGGCTGCTGCAAAGCATCCGAAACGTCAGGCCGAAGTTAAAAATCATTTTCAAATAAGTTTAACTAATATATCGCGTTTTAAACCGTTAAAGTGTTTTATTTAAATGTGTACTACTCGCGTAAACTATAGACAGTATTCTATTAAAGGATCTTTGAAACCTGCCGTTTGTTATTATATAAATGCCCTAACTATATATTGTTTTTTTTACTGACAACAGAAATTTATACCTGCTGATGTTAATAACGTTACTTTTTCAAATGTAAAAATGTAAAGCACAATTAATAAATATTAATGTCTGCTTGTGAAATGAATGTTTTCGACACTTGCCATTTGAATTATTATTGTTCTAGACGTACTAAAAAAATTTTATTCCATAATATTTCAGCTAATAAACTAGAAATTGACTAAATGCGATGTTGTTTTTGTTCACGACATAATACCATCATGAACTGTTTTATGATGGTATTATATACAGATTTCAAGTCCCAGAATCTATAAAACTGTTACCACTTAAACAAACAATCTAAATTATTAAAACTTTATATATAATATAATAATGTAGTTTCAAAAATTATAACTGTTATATCGCATACATGGAAAATGAGTCTAAGCATCGAGAAGAGTTTATGTAACAATACAGCAAACATCCTAGTATTGTTTAATTAATAAATGCCTAATTCTGTTATGTAAATTTTTTCTAGCCCGTTAAATTTTCTTTACATTCTATAAATAAGATTTTAAAAACAATAAATTACTATTTAGAAAAGATATGTAGACGAGAAATAAAACGCAATAGAAAAGATGACAATATTCTATTTAATTTATATAACAAAATTTAAATACAATCTTACATTGCGTAACATTCAATCGAATTCTGTTCACAAGCACATCACACTGCGGTTTCCATAAATATACTCAATATTGCCTACAACTATACCGTGAAGTTATCAAAATTTAACACCATAATATTGACAATGACACAAAAATGACTTCAAAATTATGCAAAAAGGAACTCTGTTTACTAGAAAACGGCACAGGCTATTCTATATTAAGCGAACGCTTCGACAAAACGACTATACTACATCCATTAGCCCTGTTTGCAAAAAAAGCATTAAATTCACTCGAGAACAAAACGGTCAGGTAAAGACAACGTTTATCAACATTAAAAACCAACAAGTTAAAACCACTTTCGAAGAGGTAAAACTACTAAATAATATCACGGTTTTTAAACTACAATAATACGAATTACACTTGGGAGGTTAACTAGGTTACTCATGTAAATGAAATGGTAACTGAAGTACGACTGAGTTAGTGTTTGTGCCCTTAGAGACCGATGTATGTATAATTAATTTAATTATTAGACGATAGAATTGCAAAATAGGACCAAGTGTTTTTTCTAAATTCTAGGTATAACACATCAATAGCACTTAAAATCAATGTGTCGCAAACACATTTGATAACATATTTATTAGTTGGAATCGATGTGTCTCGGATACATAATTGCTTTTATAAGTGCTAATATATAGATATAACATTTGTAGGATAATTGATCACCTTCAAAAGCACTTTTTCACATGATAGAAATAAATATCAGCTTCCATTTCCATTATAACATTTGGTTTTAAGTTACCCCGTCGCGTTTCTTTGTGTCATGTACGGCCTTTGAGTTACGAGCCCACAAACTTGGTCACTCGAAGTGTAAGTGATAACGTAGATAAGGGTCAATTTAACCATGATTTTTTTGAACCATAAAGAGATTTATACCATACATAAATTAATTAATAATGACCGAGTTTGTGCACGCTGTAACGGGGCTTTAGAAACACGTTAGGGTGTCCGAACTACTCGCTACGCTAAGGAGTATGCAGCTATGTACAAAACAAATTAACTAATACTCAGACTAGAGGGCGCTATCGAGCGATCACCACATATGTGTCTCGCGGATTTCGCTTATGATCTGACCGGCGCGTTGAAGAGCCTGAAATAAAGAAATAACTTAAGGAATGCTATGATACTATAATAAATGTATGTAAAAAACAAAGTCATACATTGAAATAGTACATTACTGCATTGATGAAAGAACGTGTGACAAAGACAAGTCCAAATAATGCGCGGAAATTAAAACTAAGTAGAACAAATCAGAACTTTAACTCTTATGACAAAGTTGACGGTCAACTAAAAATAGTTTTTGACTCGCCGAAGTGTTTTTTTTTCACTAAACTTCGCTTTGTTGCCAGTTCGAATTTTAAATGAAACGTCTAAAATAAGTTACCTCTTGGGTAGTTTCATTTTTAAATTACAGGACAGTTACGATTTTATATAGTAATCGCTAAACACGACAGAAAAAGATTATCATATTATAAGCACTGAAACCGACCCTTGCTTGGCCAGTAAAGCAAGTTCGATTTCCGTGGTTTATATATTGATATACAAACATTAAAAAAAATTATCAAATTTCCAATCATAATCGATAAAAGTAAATTTTCTTAACTTACTTTAAGCATATCGGCAGCTTCCTTTCTCCTCTGAGCAATGTGCTCAGACTCATTCAGCAGGCTCTCCGCCTGATCAGACTTATACAGATGGGTCACGAGCTCCGACTGAAGATTGTCCTTCACGAAGTTGACGAGGAAGTGCATAACAGCCTTTGGTACTGAATCCTGGATGGACTTCCGTACTATGTAGAAGTAGGATTTTATCAGTTTCTCTGGAAGTTTAAGAACAGTATGATTATAATATTTTAATCATAAGGTTAACCCTGGTGCATAAAAATTATTTACACTTGACATACTATTAGTGAGTTATAAAAATCGTGTTAGAATGAACTTCTTTGCAAACTGTATGGCAAGGTGCGTGTTACATGATAAGAATACGAGAAAGTTGATTTTATAGATCGTGCAATAATGGCGCTGGTGTCGTATTCTAATTTTGTTACTATTATGAGAAGCTTTCGCTTTTTTCGTCCGCAAAATTAATAATAGAAGGGAAGGAAGAAATTTTCAAAAATAACAATTACATGTTTCAATTTTTTTTATAAGCAAAAAACGGACGCAGAACAATACTAATGACCACAATAACATGACAACATCATCTAAATAAAACTGCTGGGAGCAATTTAATAAAGAAACTTCGTAGTCAGGGCATGCATTTGAACAGGTAATTTTGAAAGCAAATAGTAACATTGCCTAGATTTAGGACCAAATTTCAATACCAAACCCGTTGTACATTATTTGTCTTTAGAAACAGATAAAATAATGCCGTTAGCTTTAGGTTGTTTACTCATTATATCGCCAACGAAATGTGACGCGAACTAAAAAGTACAATCTATTTAAATAAAACCTTTAATGGTTTAAAACGCGATATATATTAGTTAAACTTAATTGAACATTATTTAAACTTCGGCCTGACGTTGGCCAGTTGCAGATGCTTCGTGGTCACGGGACGATACCACGGCTGCTGCAAAGCATCCGAAACGCGTAAACCACAGACAGTATTTCGTACAATCCATACAGAGAACCCAGACAAGCAACAAGCACACAGCAATTCAGATGAAAGGTGGTCGGAAACCTAGTGAAATGATTAAAGCATTATTTGCACATCGCCTCTAAGAGTTCTCACCGACTAAATCACCCATATGGTTCAAATGCATCATATTGATGCCATCTACTGTCTTTTGGTTAGCATTTTGGTCTTTATCTTTTCCGTTCCCACTCCGTCCACCTACCATCACAAAATGTTTGTTAAAAAATTTTGAATCGAAAATCTCAATTAATGGGAATTAAGAATTTAATGACATGAAATGTAAATGGAGTTTGAAAAGTTAACTGCAGTTAGTCTCAAAAGATTAGAAGGAAGAAAAACAATGTGTTAGACAAAACGAATACTAACCGATAACGTCGCAATCGTGCTGCTCTCTGTCGGAGAGTTTTCGCGACGTGTGGCTGGGCACTTCGGGCAGCAGGTTCACGGGTTTCTGTGGAGTCAGCACTTTGTTCTCTGGACTTCCATTCATCTAGTCATACATATTACCTTTCGGTGAAACTAATTTAAACGCGATTATATTTTTGTGAAATTTAATCGCATTAAGAATAGAAAGAAACAATTTTCGTTTCTCTGTAAAATTTTTAATTAGTTTTTTCATTGAAACTAGTTAATACAGCATGACTGGCTCAATGGTGTAATGGTAGCAATGTATGGCTTATAATCAACTGGTCGTAGATTCGATTCCCACCAGGTCCAACATGTTAATAAAATTTATAATCGATATTAAATGGGTGGTAGGAATATCGAAATTCCGTCCGGATCACGAACCACCTTCCAGAGACGAAAAAAAATTGATCGCGTTTAGGTTTCAGTCTTTAGAATTCTGAATATACAAAGCCACAATAACTTAACAGCGCCTTTGGTATTTCACCTACCACCAAGCGAACCTTATGCTATCATATAGAAGCATTCTTTCATAAGTTGTCTATGGTAATTATTATCCCCTTATTCTATATTCTAGGTTTATTGTTAGTACAAATAATGTATTTTCTAATATATAATATAAAAATGCGAGTGTTAATTACCTGTGGAGTTTGTGGTGATTCACTGTGCGACTGTGGTGGTGACCGGTTGTCGTGTCCATCCGTTATAGCCGGCATATGCTGTAATACATGCAAACAATTCTCATGGCAATGACATAGACACATGTGTAATAATAGTATTTTAAATTTGTGCTTGTCAAACGGTTAATGAATAGGATATTGTGATAGACACAAAACGTATGTAAAGACGTTCCATGCTACGTCTATTAAGTTTTTTTTTTTAAACAAATGTACCTCTTTTTTTAAATAAAACACTTTAACGGTTTAAAACGCGATGTATATTAGTAAAATCTATTTGAAAATTATTTTAACTACAGCTCGACGTTTCGGCTGCTTTGCAGCATCCGCGGAGAGAGAGTCACCGGGAGACTGTGGGAGGCCGTAGTTAAAATAATTTAAAAATAAGATTAACTAATATATATCGCATTTTAAAATGTAAAACTACTCGTGTAAACCACAGACAGTATTTGAATCTATCTCTCTCCAAAAACCATGCATCTAAAATAAACAAAGAATTTGAAAATGAAATGAGTTACCAGCAAGACCTCTGTGGTATTTCTTTTATATAGATTTTTTATACACAGTTTGACATTTGCAGGCGACATATGGCAATGAAAGAGAGCCCACTACAAAAAGCGTTTCCAATGGTTTATGTGTGTTATTAAAACGAACCACACGTTTTACCTGAGAATAAGACTCCCATACATTTGCTAGGTATGCTAGAGTGGACCCTCTTTCTCCCATTTGTCGGAGAATTTGTCGAAGAAACAACTACAAACAGTAATGTCATTTGTTTTCTTCTGATTTAGTTTAGATTTTTTGTTTGTTAATTTCTTTAAATTACGTCTTGAAAAATCAATACTATAATATGATGAAACTTCATAGTAAAAATTATCTAAAAGTGAAAACTTTGGTTTACAATTATTGTATTATACTATCTACTAGTAATTTACGGCTATATTAAAAATCCTTCACGATTATTAATGAATCAATTAATTCTTAAAATGATCATTCCATTTCGAAGTTAGTATTGTAAATAGATTAAAGATACATTAGGTTTTTATAATTGTTATAAGGTTCTTACTTTTGTTTCTACTTTAGTATTAGTTGCCCACACCATGTTAGTAGTTAGCGACAGTCTTTAATAAAATAAAATAATATATACTTTGATCATGTTATGTACCGGCGATGGTGCGGGCCTTGTAGGCTTATGCCTGAAGTCTTCAAGCCCGTCTGTGCTCTTGAGCAGACCAGATACTAGCGCCGCCTCGCGGTGGAAATCTGGATGTTTCGTGTTTATGTACGCCAATTCGATCGCAACTAAGTTCTCCACCTGTACAAAATAATAACCATTACTCAAAATTTTACAAATATGTTATATACATATGTTATAACAAACAAAAGTGTGTGAACAAACTCATTCAAGACTTTTTTACGTCTTGTACGCCCTAGTCGTTATACAAGTATACGCATTATGTAATAAACAAAAAAAAACAAATTAAGAATTTAGAAGTAATTGATAAATGTCTTTATAGTACTTTTTAATTTAAATAGTACACAAAATCCCAAAAGTTTATAGATATTTACCATAGAGTTAGTAGCTGGCAGCCGCGTACGCAGCAACTGCGTTACCACGTCAACGATGCGCTGATGCAGCCGCGGGAACCGGAGCATTTCCTGCTGCACCTCCGTGCCGCAGTGCTGTACGATTCGCTGCATTTCTTCGTGTACCTGTGTTACAATTACATTTTTGTAGCAAATTGGATGGTGCTAGTACATGCAGGTATTTTCTAGTTATAGGCATTACAACAAATCCTTCACCTATGACGGAATGCCTTTGTGTATGAAATTAAGATGTGTAAAAGTTATATACAAAGTTTTCTTATAGTTAAAAATGACATATGACTCACCAGTTCTACGCAGCGCAAAGATGGGTCCTCCAGCCGTCTTATTTGCCGCTTGACCAGCAATTCAAACGACACCTCAGGTACGAAAAGCGCAGGCCTGGGACCAGTCGCATTGCGTATCGCAGTCAATATATCCATGCGGGTAAGACCTTGAACATTACAGTTAATTTGAAAATTACGTTTAAATAATTTTACTAGAACGAATGGATATTTAAATATTAGTACTTATTATAATGTTTTTTATACTTTTATTTTATTATCTTCTTTACCTACAGGTATTATCTATAGTTACACATAAAAATACACTTTAACGGTTCAAATCGCGAAATATATTAGTTTACTTATTTTAACATCTTTTATCCTCGTTTTGGATGCTTTGCAGCAGCCGTGAAGGGTAGATTAAGGAAAATGGGTTTTGGTATCCATTCAACATCTCAACACCGAGAAACATAATTTTACTTACCTACTAAAGGGTGTATGGAGTCCAAAGTGCGACCGAACGTTTCATGGAAAATATAACAAATCCGTGCGCCTCCGCACAGTTCGGTCGTCTCGATATTACGCGCAGTGCCCTCTATAGTGGAACAATAAGCGCTCGCGAATTTAGTTATAATCTGTAGGAGCGTCTGAGATTTGTCGGAAACGTCGTCTCCGTAAGAGTTAAGAAGAGATTGGAACTGCGATATCATAACGTTGACCCGAACCTGAAATTTTGTTAGTTTATATGTTATATAGTTGTAATTTAAGAAATTTGTATGGACCTATTAACACTATATGGTTCCTGTATTTAATGTCTCTTTTGGGGCTGCATATATTAAGATCATCCAAATATTCTACTTTTAGAAGTACTACTCTATATAATCTTAATAAACATTTTATGACAATAACTGGGTCTATAAAACCTAAAACTTGTGTTCTATGTATCAAATGTGTGTTTTTTATGGACACAATGCTAGAAGTATCTAGTACCTAACTAATGTCACGAACTGTAATAACTTAGTTATTATCCATTATTACAATTATCTTCAAATGAAGGTAATATATTGCTATATTTATAAAGATATAGTGGGTAAGAAACTATGTCAATGACCTTGAGTTCCGGCAGGCAGTCTCTTATATGGTGCATGAGAAGTCTGTTCAAGGTCTTGGCTAAGTACGGCGTGCCGTTGCGAGTAGCTATAGTCGGATACTTGCGTTGCAGATAAGTGGCTTCATCTTTTAAAGCATCCTGTATTATAAAGACACAATAAAATGTAATTTATAGACATTAAAATATATTAGGTATGAATATTTGAGTGGTAAATTTTAATAGTACATATGATTTAAAAAAATCGGCAAAATAGACAGGAATTAAAACTGACTGAACTACAGAATAGAGTTCTGTACCAATTGTAGTGTAACGAAATTAATGATTTATAAATAAAAAAATCCACTCGGGTAGGACTTGAACCGGCATCAGCGTTCCGTACTGTTGCTCATTATCGAATTTTTTCAACTTGGATACATGCACCTGTTGCGCGGTAAAGTTTTCAAAATTTGGTGATGCTATGATGTGTTTGAGTCCCGCCCGTATCATAGATGTTTTCAACCAAAAATCCTTAGTAAATTATAAAGATTTAAATAATACCGTAATAGATTTTTTATCGATTATATCCTGTTGTGATCTATTGACTACTCCAATAATGCCGAGCTTAACTGGGATTACGCGCCCGCATAATATATCAATGGCGTCGGTTCCTGCAATAAAAACAGCTGCTTTATATTTTGTTGAAAAAAAAAACAGCCCACCATAAGGTATTACAGTGTATCAGAAGTTAATATATTTTTAATTTGTAATGCCATTACAGAGTAAAAATATTATTTTATTTAGATGAGCACTACTTGTATACATAAAATATGAACATGTGGCATAGACTTTTACTTGTACTGAAAATGTGTAAAACAGGAGTCTCTACATTGATTTCCAATGAGAATATATAAAAAATTCCTGACTAAAGCGTAAGTTAAAACATGTATATTGTGTGGTATCACTTGTCAATTTCACAAGTCACAGATAGTTAAAGGAGTAATATGTATTTATATGTGTTCATGTAATTATAATAATGAATACAATTTGTTTTACCTGCATCCATGAGATCCAGCTTAGTAACAACAGCTAAAGTTCGCCTTCCATCAGGATCAACTTCTTTAGCCATTTTGATAGCTTCACTGGTAGCCATGTCTGTATTCGCTGCAGTCACAGCTAATATTATTGAATTAGGATTGGCTATATGCTTTATAAGGAGGACTCTTATTTGATTCTCAATATCTTCTGGCTGGTCACCTATTGGCACCTAAAAATGTACAAGCTATAAGGAAACTTTTTAACGGTTTAAAACACAAAATAAACTCATAAATTATAATACGAGCTGACGTTTGCGATAGTTTTCAGTTTGATATTTTTTTTTTAAGTTTTCCATGTTTTTTTTATGATGGCACTATATAAATTAAAAATCGAACTTGGTAGCCTTATTTGTTAGAGGAACAGCGTGGAATGCTGTAGATGCCAGTTCAAATCCAGTCTGAGACATATATTTCCTAAATTTATGATCGATTTTTAATTTACTTTTCAGTACCATATACCATCCTTTTTGTAATATAATTTGCTGTAAATAAATTTTTCGCCTTTAAAGAGTGTTGTAATGAAAGATGATGAGCAAGCTTTTTTACCTTGGTGATACCAGGAAGATCTACTAGCGTAAGATTGACAACTCTGGTGGAATAAATCTTCAAGTTTATTGGTTCTGGACATATACCCTTGTTGCTTCCAGCCATGCGATCTGTTTCTCTTTCTATTTCTTCTCTGATTTGATCGAAATCTGTATAAATCTTTTCCTTTGTGTGGAGAAACTTGCCCCATTCTTCCAAATTAACTGTACCTTAAACAAAAAATAATAATTTTTAATATTTCTCTATTAATTTGTGATCTATTTACTTTACAAGTGATTGAAGGAAAACAAATACAAATACATAATAATATGTGCATATTACAATGTATAAAATGAATCACTTCAATATGTGGAACGTAATATGACAAACAGGACAATGGACGAATATAGCTGTCTACACTAACCTGACACAAAGACTGATTTAAAAGGGTTCCACGAGGGTTCAGTCCCAGTCTCCTGGCTTCTAATGACTGAAGCGATTACAAATAATATATACCACACAACTATTTAGCTAACTATGTGAAAATCAATATTGTTTAATTAGAATTCTAGGAACTGAATGTATTTGTTGTTACACACAAAATGGAAGGTTATAAAAATTCCAAATTTTTTGTACCTTGTGCATCAATTGCAAGAAAACAAAATATATATTATGCTACGTATATTTACATTACATTAGATTATATTACTACATAAATTTAAAAATGTAAGGAATTAATAATCAACAGCATATATGGTTCAAAATTATATCAGTCATGGGTTCTAAACTCTGGAGAACCAATGCTTTAAATCTAGTAAGGTAAAGAAATCTAGCTAACCATTATTCTGTTAATAAAATTCATCATTAAAAAGAAAGATAATGCTGGCTTGGGCTTCGAACATGCACATAATTAATGATAATTGTACTTGGAATGTTGACATTGGATACAATACATGAGAAGTATTTACAGATTCACTTTTCTTTGTTTAAAAATGTAAACAAGTATGATTCACAGAAGTAGGTTTAATTAGTCTGAATTATTCCACTTATTACTGAAAATGTACTTATAAGGTATAAATTGTTACTAATTGATGATTTTGTGTTTACACAAAAAGATCTAAAGATGCGATTAAAAAATTTATTTAAGCTAACATTAATTACATCTTTAGATCTTTACTTTATACTTACTTTTTCTATTTACTCACAGAAAAACATACATAAGTTTACAGGAAAAATTTATTGAAAAGATGTACCTTCTTCAGCTGAGCGATGTTCTTTGCTGTCTTTAGGGCTATAGACTAACTGTAGAATAAGAGGTCGTCGCGTCACAATACCTGGACCGCGGGGTAAGAAGGAATGCCCCACAAGGCTTTCTATAACTGAACTTTTTCCAGAACTCTAAACAAAAGAGAGGATTAATGCAGATGACTGTGTACAATGTATTTTTTATTATAAAAAAATCTCTTTGTTTTAGCCGGATATAATTATGATGAATAATTGGTAATAATTAAAATATTAGACTTGACCTCTATAAAAATATTGTATATTTACTAATGAAAAAGTTGCCATTCAGAATGATGTACTATTTACAGTTATAGACCGATTCTATGATAAATAATGAGGACAATGTGAAAAGTGATATATTTACATAACCATTGTTCTTGTTTTTATCAACGGCGAAAGAGAATGTGTGTATAAAGTGAAATGGTATTGTACCAAGAATATTGATAAAAATGTAAGAACCTGAGTTCCCAAGACGACAATCTGCGGTAATTGGATGGCATCAGCACCAACAGTATTAAAAACGTCTTGCAATTTATTAATTACTGGTATTAATGCTTCCATTATAATGTCCTACGATAACTGTATTTAAAAATCTCTACAACTAATAATGTCTTCGCTATTCTGACTCAGTTTGTAAGTAATGACTTTTTTATTGGAGACACTAAGATCAAAACACAAAAACTGACCGGTAAAAATCGGCCATATTGATTCGGACTTCTGAAATATAATGGTTTTTTTGTTGCCATTAAAATTCCAAAAAGCTGCCTTAACAATGTAAGGGTGCATTTTAAAAATTATAGATATTTTTGATTATTTATAGCAAAATATAGCATAATCTCTTGTTATCGGGCATAGTGTTTATTATTGTTAGCCAAGAACTGCCAAACTATTTATAAACCTATGTAATCATTCAATTTTCAATATGTACGTTTTATTATTGTATCAAAGCCCAATTTTTATAATATATGCAGTATCAATTTAATTATCTCAATTTAATTCAATCGTTTATTGTTCAAACCTTCCCGAAAATTGCCCAATAGGATATCTACAGCGTTTATGGCAACATTGGTTAATGTATATTTTATCTCTGTCGGTCCACTGAATTAAAACATGATATCTGTACTGATTACAGGTAACAAACCAACTGAAGTTTAGGCATTTACTACAGAGGTTCATTGTAGTAATGTCATCTTTGTTGTAATACGCAATTGTCAATTTGATAATTTGACTGCGAATTTGTTTGTGTTTGCGTTCTTCCATTTCAGCATAATAAAACAAATACTTTTAATCTTAGTGCTTTTCATATTAACTGAGAAGAATAAAACTATTTACTAAATATTATTTTAGGCTTTACACATAGCCGCGGGTACAACATATTTCTCTAGGTGTATACGCTGTGTTCGATCTAATACCTAATCCTAATGGCTAGTCATTTCCCAAATTTGTTCACCGATGTAAGTTGTACTATGATTGCAAGTAAATATATAGTTTTGGATTTAATTAGCTCTATGTAACATTAAATCTAATTGCCTCCCTATATTCTTTACATTTTGGAAATTTTAGGACAACAATGTTGACTCCAAAGGTTACACTACAAACTCAAAGTCAATTGAGTTTGGCCCATGGCATATTTCTTATGATGTGAGTTGTATTTTACCCAGTATGTGCTCAACGAAAGTCGTTTGTGAACGAGATGATGACCAGTTTTGTCAATTTTGTATGTAAGTGTCAAGCAATGGTGCCACCATTTTTATAGTGTACATTAATTATAAGTACATCTTATAAATTGATATGATATGTTACCTAGGTAATTTATTTCAAATATTAAACTTTTTTTCTAGATATTGCAAAGAATTGAGTATACCACACTTTCCTGATATGGTATTTCCAAAAAATATTCTTATTTTAGAACACAACTCTGGTGCAAAAATAGAATTTAACCCTCTTGATGCTTTAAGGAGAGTATCAACACGGATTGAAGCAATTGAGGTTGCATGTGCCGAATCTTGGCAAGAGAGCAGGTATAGATATTGCCATAGATAGCATTGTGTTTTTATTTTGGTACACACAATTTTCTGTGTCTTGTTTTTTTTTGTGTGTCCTGTCCAACTGAAACAATTTATTGCTTTTTTATGTGTGAAACAGGTACCTCTCATGTTTAGAGCAATGCTTATTGATAAATTTTAATATTTAGGTATTTATATAGAGACACTCATGTGACAATATTCCTGATTTATAAAGAAGTAATCGTGATAAACTTATTTAAAAAATACTCCTGTTATTTTTTCAAGACCAGATGCTGAGAAACAAAAGAAATCTTTTGATTGGACATTTTCAACAGATTATAAAGGCACACTGTCTAGTAACATTACAGTTGAGGAAACAGATGAGACAATAAATTTTGATTTACTAAAGAAGAAGGAGCAAATTATATTTTACCATGATCTCACTTTGTTCGAAGATGAATTACATGATCATGGGATTTCAAAGCTTTCTGTCAAAATTGTAAGTATAAGAGAAATAAGGTCATTTACAAATTGGGTATTTGCTGGTTATATTAATGATTACTTTTCATAAGCTTAATCGAGATGATACCTTCAGTCTTAATCGATTTCTTGTGGTTTGAGTGAAACAGAAATGAGTCACTGAGGAATCACGCTCCTTACTATCATAGTACTCATTACCAATACATTTAATAGTAAATACACTTTTTACAAAATATGAAATAAATAAAGATTTTATCTGGTATATCTTATGTCATGCTTTCTAAATGTTTCAGAGAGTCATGCCAACATATTGGTATGTCCTGTTAAGATATTTTTTAAGAGTAGACGATGTTCTGGTGCGATCAATAGAAACTAGAATGTTTCATATGCTCAACACCGACTATGTGATGCGGGAATTTACAGCAAAAGAGGCAAAGGCAGAAGACATAAATGTAAGTCCCATGCAGTGCATGTTTTATTGCCTGAACTAATCCTACAAGCTTTGCTCCTTCACATGAATCCCAACGAATGAAACATAACAACTTTTAGCCAATCACCCTTTTACATATCAACTTGTCGCGGTTAATATACACCACAATAAGATACCAAGAAACTTTTCGTAGCTTACGAGAGAAGCACACATTTGAATAAAACACTTATAAACTAATTAAAACGCAAAAAGAAAATTTAAACTTATTTACAAACTAATTTAACTACGGCCCGATGATTTGGGTACTTTACAGTAGCCGTGGTCACGGGGAGACTATTCTTCTCGCCACCGCGGGATTAACTTAATATAATTTGTAGATAATAAATTTCGCGTTTTAAACCGTTAAAAATGTTTTATTAAAAAAAAGGTAAAAAAGTGATTTAACAATAGTATAACTTATTTTTTTATTATTTTCAGATGCCCACAATACTTATGAAGGAAGCAGATGATGTTATACCACATTTGCCTTTGAAAGAAAAACATACTGATAAACTGGTTGTGAATTCAAGTAATCAAAATTAAATTTTCTGGATCTCGTAAATTTTAAGAAATATGATGTGAAAATGTGTATTAAAGAAATTAAATTTTCAAAAAATATTTGCCGTTTTAACTTAGAACCTTTGTTAGGAATGGGAATGTCTCTTCATGTTAATATTTTACTTGTATGACAAGTCATTTTCAGTTCTCTTCGACTCATTCACGTACGAGTTATTGGACTTTTAAAATCCTCTTCGCCTGGCAGATTACCATCTATTATGTTTCACTACTGATACTCTATCTACATTTTAATATAATAGATAATTATAAAATTAATAATCCTATATCTATAAGGTCTTATATCACACTACAATGTATTTCATTTATCTTGCTAAAATACATTGTAGCCTGATAAATACGATAACTTCTGCTTTTGTGAATCAATTTTTTTGACTTTAAGCAAAAAAATATCGCAAATCGCAAAACAGACAATAATTTGTTACTCTCTGTGTTTTGCGGTGTGTATGGAAGAGGCTTCATATGCTTCACTTGATACTTTTCAATATAACGTATAAACAAGATTCGCTGTTGACCCTGACATATTTTAGTTTTAAATACATGAGATCCACAGACTTAAACCGAAATGTGATTAATCATGGGTTCTTGCGTCTGTGAATTTTCCAGACGAAATCTATCATGTTTTAGAAACATTATACATTGATTAGAAGCATGTTAGAACAAGTGGAGATCGACTCGTTGATTATTAGACATACGTTGCATAGCATATGCCGCTAAAATAAAACTTCACTACCTCTCCCATCTATCGCTATATTAAGTAAAATTAATCTCAGTATAAATATTTATTAAATATATTTAAGCGTTTATTTTAAATAAAATCTAATTTCTCTTGCGTTGCTTTGAATTATCATTAATTTCACTATCAGAAAATATGTCTGTGCATTTTATCTTTGATAAAAGCAGCCGATCTTTATAACATTTATATATTATTGTATAATTTAGTTCACAGCAGTAGTAGTTACAGTAGGATAGAACATATTTGTAAAATGGCCTTTATTGACCACATAGTTCTTAACGGTGAGTGTACATATATTTTTAAGTACCCTTAAAAAATATTAATTACTGCTATAGGTTGCTTTATATTTATTAATTAACAATTCTTTAACTCTATGGTTTATGTTATAACTCTTGCGACTGTTTTTATATATTGTTATTTATTGCACCAGCGATTACCTACAACATTGTATCCTATCGTATGACAATAAATTCTTTACAATCCTTAAGCACGAAACATGACTGACGATGCCGGTTCAAATCCTGCCCGAGTCAAAAATTTGTTCAATTCATTTTACATTTTAGAATTACTCATTATTATTGAATGTAGAAAATATTGGATCTCCTCGTCTTATGTTTGGCATTTCGTGTATTAAACATACAGTGTAAACTCTATATAGCGACACTGAGGGGACTGTGCATTTTTTGGGGTTTTGGGGGGGTGTTGTTAAAAAGAGAGGAATTTGTAAAAACCACCCCACCTAATTTTTTCGCCTCTGAGGGGGTTTTTTTTTTTTGAGTGTGTTTCCCGGGGTTTTTTTTTTTTTTATTTTTAAAACAAATTAATTCACAGGATTACTGGTAATTAGTGCTGTAACGGCAATCCAATTGAAGTTTGACGATGCATTAACCGCGCAACGAGGTTTAGGATGGCCCCACAGCCTTCAAGTGACAGTGGGTCACGAGGCATTGATGAAATTGGCAATAAATTTGGAAAATCAAGAATCATGTGAAGTTGTCACGCCAACCGGCGTGATGTTTAATATTGCATCGCCACCGAATGACAGGTAGTTGTTGAATATGTTTAATTTATTTAACAAGTTTTAAAGTTTGTGTAAGTGTAATTTGAGGACGTCAAATTTATGATTATTTTGATATTAAATACGAAGTTATTAACCGTTTAAATTATTAAAAGTATCACCGTACCATATTTATTTATGTTTAAAGAACGTCATCCGCGCCATAATTACGACTCATAGCCAGTATTAAAAACGGCGCAGATAAAAATATTCAGTTGGAAAATTGGACGCCGGTCCAGTAAAAGTTCGCCTATTAATTGTTCCCTCGCTCCATGTTATATAACCTTACTTTTGCATTTTTAATAAGTTTATCTTTCCAATTGCACGTCAACTTTTGACGATAAGCTAAACAAAAATCGGTTTATTGTGATTGATTGATCTGTAATTAATTTCAATCAGTATTTTAATCTCAAATAATTTTATCGCCTTCGAATTTTAGGTTCGAATTATGGGAAGGTGGCTGTAGTTTAAAAGTGAAGAAGATAGAGCCAAATGACACAGGTAGATGGCGTCTCACTGCTAAGGGAGATAACACGAAAATAATGGGTTGGACTGCGCTTCATGTTAGGGGTAATATAACGTCGTACATCTAGTAAAAAAAAGTACCGCAACGATGTAATTAAATACGCAGCCAAAAGCGTAATAAGAGGTAGATGGCATTTGAGGAATGGGTTTTTCTGGAACGATTTGTTAGTGCCGCGTCTCGTTTCCTACTATAATATTAATTGGAAATCTTTTGTATTGGTTCTAGCATTAACGTAACACATTAAGGCTTATATTAACGAAAAAATTCTAAACACACTATATAAATTAAAAATCCATTTTAGATATAAAAAAAATATTATGATGACAGATGGGAATCGGTATCCAAAGTGTTTATGCTGTTGCTTTAAAATATTGAGCTACCCTGTCGCTGGTTTACTGTGTCGTAAATTATTCAATTCAAAATCGACCTTTAATTTATATTACCATCAAAAATATTAAAGTCGTCAATCCGCACTATACATCTATAAATTTTAACTATAGGATACATAACGAGTAAGTACTGTATGAATTCGAGAATAATTAGTAATAAAATAAATGTATAATTGTTTTACGTTTCGGATGCTTTTCAGCTAAAATATGGAAACGTTTAATTTACGCGCCTTATTGAATAATATGACAATCTAGAAAATATCTCCCATATCCATTGTAGGATTTACTTTAGAAGAAGTTGTTACAACACAATCAGTTTATTTTTACAATTTTAATTAAAATCACGTTTATTTCAGAAGACACACCGACGCCTTCTCCCCCTACTATAACGCTCCCCGATGGTGAAAATGAGGTCAAGGTGGACTTATCAACGGAAGACAATTCCTATTGTCTCGTCGCAAAGCCTTTTTCTGACAGTGCCCTTGTCCCGGGACACTGTACTGTGACCCTCGATCGAACGACACGCGCCGTGCAAGGGAAATGGGATGTACTTTTGGGTGTACCGGGAAAAGTTTCCGAAGTTCCCTTGAAGAGACAGGTCGTTGTTGAAGGTACGTAATATTTAAGCACATAATATCAGAGACTTCGTCCTCGTAGAATAGTTATTAAAAAAAAAATTGTTAGTGAGACATTGAAATTCGTACTAGTTACATCGCATCCCGTTTTGATTGAGGCATGAAACGCTGATCACCTTTGTTTACAGGCAAGTTGTTAATAAAGAACCTCGCCTTACTTAACTTTTGGTTGGCTCATTTTGTTTTTTACCAAACTTTCTCAGAACTCAGTAGGTAGTGACGTAAATAGTAGTAAGATAACGTAAGTAGTAGTACATAATAATCTATATGTCTATCTAAAAGTGAAATACTGTTGCCCCCATTGGGGCACGGGGCTAACGCCTTTTTGCGCGTTTCAGTGATCAGTTCTTCTGCAAGCAAGTAATTGATCAAACTTCTATAGATCTAGCTAAAACCAGGTTACTTATTATTACTTGTATTGATTTTGTTCTTATCTATTTAATATTTTTTTGTTTGCAGCCGAGCGCTTGGATTTCGGATACATTCACGAAAGCAGTACCAATAAACTGCACTTGTACTGTAATATTTTGCACTCGGAGAAAAATATAACATTCTGCCGATTTCAAAGGACGTCATTGCCTTACGGATTTAACGTGGTAGATGGACTGAGCGATGGCAGTCATAGGTAAATATTAATAATTGATAACGTATTATACGTATATCTACACTAATATTATCTGTCTGTTTGTTCGCACTTATCTCAGGAACCACTAGTTCGAATTGGAAAAATATTTTTGTTTGGAGCAAAATACTCGTTATTACAAAACATTGCGATGCGACTAATAGGTACGAAAAAACTGTGGAAGATGTGTGAAAAACTATTATATGTGGACGAAGTCGCGGCCACAGCTAATACATACTACATGTTATGCTTTTGGGATCTAAAATTACTTACGCCCTTCCACTGTGCCAATTTCACAGTTTTTAATTCTGTTTATGTTATTCTTTAAGAAATGTATGTAATTTACGTAAGTAGTACGGTTTTAAATAAAACACTACTAACGGTTTAAACGTGAAATGTCAATTATATTTCGCGTTTAATTTATGTACAATTCGTTTTAACTATGGCCCGACGTTTCAGATGCTTACCAGCAGCCCGTGACCACGACTGCCGTAAAGAAATAAGTTAATTAATTCAATTCGCGGTTTTAAACCATTAAAAGTGCTTTCATTCTTTGTTTTGTTTAGCTATTACGGAAAGGGGTTCTTAAGGCGAGAATGTGGTATAACAATTGAGAAACCATCCCTAGACGATTCTGGAACATGGAGATGTACTGTTGGTCTGAAGATGTGGGTTGGCAATCAAGTTCGAGAACAGCCACCGATGCAGGCTTTGATTAGTGTCGCGGCGAGTTCAAGAAGTAAGTATATGTGGTAATCAACATTAACAGAAAAAATCAAATGAAAGATGATATAAATGTGGGCGTTGCTACCGATTCTATTTTCCTCATTATATTTGTTTAAAATACTTTTAGTTCCGTTTTATGCCTTTCCAGGTTTTTACTAGATAACTTGAAATTTTCTGGAAACTAATTGGAATTATAATATAAGTTTAGTAATATCCTAACTTCCCTAGAAAATGGAAGGCTAACATACTACTTTTGGCTGACACTGAAAACTAATATATTTAATTTAAAAATCGAAAATAAATTGAAAAAAATTGAAATTACATTGCGCGATAGGTGCATGGTAACGATAAGGTGTAGGACTCGGTAGTTCAATTGGTAGAGCAACAGCACGGAACGCTGACGATGCCGGTTCAAGTCCTGCCCGGGTCGAAAATTTTTTCAATTTATTTTCGATTTTTAAATTATATAGTGCCTTCATGTGCAATAACATTTAAAAAATAATAAAGTTTGCAAACTAATATATTTACTTAATAACTCCCGATACGTCAAATTTTAAACACATTCAGAATTCAGACAACACAAGTGATGTTGTTGAATGTGTGTAAAATTAGTCGTATCGGGTTGTGGACTTGAAGTCGACCTCATAAGATGGTTAAATTTGTTGGAATATGCCTAACGTAACCACACGACATTCTTTTACACAAACCTACATTTTTATACCAAAATACCTTTGATTAGAGACCCCTTAACCGTGCCTCAACAATATTAGTTAATAGAAATAAAAATCTATCTTATCTTGGATCTATTTTGTATTCAGTTTCAAGATTCTACAATGATTCTGCCGATAACAAAAGCAATACCGTATTTGTACAAGAAAATCGGATGTTAACTGTTTCGTGTCGTGCCGACGCTTCTCTCAAATACTGTTGGTTCCAACATCCAAATGGTTCTCAGTTTACCCCAGTTCAGCTGGTTAATGAAGAGCAACCGTTTTGGTAAGTATGGGGAACTTATAAAAACGTTACGCGGAAAACATTGTGAGGAAATCTATACGTCCTAGAGCTAAAACTCGACTTTTCCTCTCGACCAAATGTCGAGCGATGTTAAGGCCGATCGTCTATTATAGGATCCTCGTCTACTATAGGAGTTGAGAAACCTATTATATACTATTATCTATGGTTTCAAAATAAAAAATAATTTGATGGCCGACCTTCGTTAAATCATAATATGTAATTAAGGTGAAAAAAAAACAAAAGAAAATGTCATTTCTAGATAAATATTTCATTCAAAATATGAGCTTCGATTAAGGTCCCATAAAAGTTTCAATTTTTGTTAAAACTATTGCTAGTATAGATAAGTACATAGTCACAATTTTTGCCCTTAGATACCATATCGTAAGATTGTTATATGCACAAAATTAAACTATGCATATCTAATCACGCTGACTTGCGTAAAATAACAGCAGACTGCGATATACAGATACGTAGTACGTTCACTTATTACTTTTTATCTAATTTCTAATAAGATCTAAATATAATATTGCGATAACGATAGTTAGATTGATCTTTAATATAGTCGGAATTATATATATTTTTTTATTGTACGAATACCGACACCGTATTATAAAGTATATAAAATATTACCCACTAGCTGTGCCCGCGACTTCGTTCGCGTGGAATAGTGACTTGGGGTAGAATTTTCAATTATTTAGGCTGTTTATTAATTTATGTTTTTGCGTATTTATCACAGCCAATCTATGTTGTAAGTGTTACTTTGCCACATCACTCCTACTCTGACTTCAACCCCACCCCCACTCTCACTGCCACTCCTATTCTCAAATAGCCAGAGAAGAAAGTTTCAATGTTATTTCTTCAAAAACCACGAATTTCCATACAAACTTTCACCCCCCTTTTTAACCCCTTACAACCCCCTTTATTTCGCAATAAAAAGCCTTTGTTCTTTCTCAGGGTCTAGACCATATGTGTACCAAATTTCATTCAAATCCGTTCAGTAGTTTTGGCGTGAAAGAGTAACAGACAGACAGATAAACAGACAGTTACTTTCGCATTTATAATATTAGTAAGGATTAGCTGTCAGTTGTTTCGTCTTAATTATAAGCATTATTAATGTTTATACATAGTTTCAAAATCAGGTTTAAACCTGATAATTACATGAGTTCACAATGAGTTTTTTCTATCGTTATTGAAAACCTAATAATTTTCCGAAATTTTTACTCTAACAGATTAAAAGAAGGTCTAGTTAAAGAAGGCGAGGCGCGTCTAGTATAAAAAAAAATTTTTTACGTCATTATATTTGAAAATTGTCTCATTCTACACTTTTAGGTATACTGGCGAAGGTCTAGCCGCTGGTCAGTGTGGAATTACGTTTAGACACGTAACTCATCAAGAGTCTGGTTTATGGAGATGTCATATGGGAAGAAAAGGTCAATTTGGAGTGGAAGTAACAGAAGACATACAAGTAAGAGTCACCGGTGCATTAGCAGCTAATAAAAAGGAAGTGGCAGCTTCGAAGGGCGGAACTCTAACTTTATATTGTCATACGGCTAATGGAAACAGACCGCTGGATTATTGCCGGTTTCTTTCGCCATCCTTTGTGGGGATAAACATTGATTCATCTGTTACTAAGGAGAAGTTAGTATTAATGTTATATGGAGAGTTTTTATTAGGGACGTTTCCGTTAGAGTTTGTCTAATATAGGTTAATAAGACAAGAATAGAACATATCCGTGATATATGCATGTTTATTTTTTGCTATTTCGATTAAAATATTTGAACTATAATCTTTGAGATAAAGACTATCGACTTTATAAACCAATCAGACTATGCAATATGTGGTCTGTAACATGACCCTATATTTGTCAAATATATAAGACAAGATATAGTATATGTTTTTGGATGCCTCAAAAGTTCGGATTTTTTTTTTCAATTATATTATAATGTGATCTCTATATTACAATTATATGATCTCTAAGTATTACCTAATTGAATCGTATTTTATATTCTATTTTCAAAAATATAATATTTCGTTAGTTGTAAACAAGTTCAGGATAAATTATTTATTTATTATAGATTTATTTAAGTGACTTGAAAACTACTATAGTGTAGCATGCTGTAGACAATATAGTAAAACATTAGTAGGCCCTTTTACTACTAGCTACAACGGAGACTACTTATTTTAATGCAGTGGACATTCGGGTAGAGTTGACGAAGGCAATCTATTCGTAAACTCAATAGGTCAAATCAACTAATTTAACGCTGGCTACATATTATTTTTACAAGTACACAATATGCAATTCAGTGTGAACATAAATCGTCTATTAATTACCTCCATAATCAATATAGTAGCAGGGCAAGGTTCTGACATATGACCTCCATAAAACATAGCGCGATAAGTTGTCAACCTAAAGCTTTAACTAACTTATGAATAGCATAACGTTGATGATACTGAAAAGAAAGAGATGTTTAAGACTAAAATAATATGATTAACTTGGCTAAGGTGCTTTAACATTGTTCCTTAATTTTAGCGCTATATTGGATCGGTTCTTCTTCACGCCAGGACGAAGCATAGACGCGGGTGACTGTTCTCTAACCATAGTTAATATCCAGGAGGATGATATAGGAAACTGGACTTGCGCTGCTGTTGTTAATGATGAGGCGACGGAATCAAGTGATACCATAAGGGTCTACCTTTCAACGAGTACGTAGATAGAGTAATATATTTATATGCAAAGGAAAGGTTGTTTGTAATCAGTTTTTAACACTAGTTTTGGTCAATAAACCCAAAGCTTCAAGTTTTGATATTATTGTCATTAGCTTGTGAAACCCCTCCTCTAGCTTAATGGTGAAACACATTGCTAAGCATTGCGCTAAGCAAGGAAATCCTGGGCTAGTACCTGGATAACATTAGATTGTTTCTGTCGGGCATGGACGTTGATCAATCAAACGGAAACAACAGCACTCATTGGGTTTGGTTAACTCGCCTCCCTCTTAACCTTTATACAGTCACATCAAAGCTGTTAACTCTACAGCATAACAATAGCAAATACTTCACGTATACTTTCCAAACGCAAACGCAACAGTCTCAGGTACCCGAAACTCGGAGATATACGCTAAACTGTTTTCACTACAGTTTGATTCTAGAGACACTTGCTGGCGTAACAAATTATTTTTCTTTCCTTACAGAGCCAGCACCTCGATACCAAGCTGGCGTGATCGGTGCCAGTGTCGGGGCAGCAGTTTTAATCCTTATTCTTGTTGGTTTCGTTTTATACAAACGTGGTTTTATTATGCTACCATTACGAAGGGACCAAAACAATCCGCCACCATCAGACGCGTTTTCGTTGCAGAGAATGTCTACGGTCACAAGTACGTCTCGATCCAGCCAAAGTAGTAGTGAATTTGGACAAGATTTAGGACCCAAAAGGGCATAACTTATTTTATCGATTAAAAAATTTGGAAGAGTTACAGAAAAATAAGGCTAAGCGCAGACTAACGATGAGGACGATGAAATAATAGCTTAATTTGAAGAGCTAAAAGTTCAGTGTGGATATTGAAAATATACAAATTTGTTTAATTTGAATGAACATTGTTTATTATTAGATTGACATTGTTTTAAAGTAAAAGAAACGTTTTGTTAAAAAGAAGTCGTTTTATTCTTAAATTCTATAAGGAAATGTATAATTAATTTAGTATAAATACATTGTCATATAAATAAGTTTGATTAACACAGCACCACTATTTTTATTGGTTTAACACGTCACGTGATCGCATATGGCCGTAGCGACATTTCCTTTTTCTGATGCGAACAAAAAGTCTTTACGGCACTGGACATATTTTATCCATATCTCATTGCTTTGACCTTTAGTTGTGAGCTCTTATTTATGCTCTTGACATTGCTTATACGTACCTTCTTTCGTATGAATGGTATAACAGGGACTTTACAAGTTACTTAAATGTCGTTAAATGTTTTGTTTTCCAGGAAATGAAGCCTGCCAGTACCTTACAATTATCTGACAAAATCTTTATCAAGTAGACAGCGCATTCGTCAAATAATTATAGGAAATATTCGCACAAAATTATATCAATTACGCCTCCTTATAACCCAAAACTATGGTGGTGATTGCCACTTTCGAGAAGAACTTGTTGATTGCTTTGACAATGGTTTTTACGATTTGTTTGATGACTGGTGGCGCGAGGTCGTCCATGAGCTGTCTCCAGTTTTCATTCGCGAATTGTAGTGTAGTCTCCGCTGTGAACAATTTTACCAGAATACATATTAGAATAGTTAAATGCTGTTAACATGTAGCCGTAACAATCTAATGTACTCACACCTCAGATACGCTTAGTAAATATGACGTTAAAAGAAAAGATAAATGAATTTTAACTCAGTCATAAATGATAGTATGAAATCATTAGGTAAAGTGGTATCAATTGAGCTATTAACTAGCTATCAATTAATACAGAATCAATTGAAACGAGCTTCAAAGCTATTTATCTGTTATAATTGTAATGACTGTTAGTCATGATGTTTTTGAGAATTTTATTCAGCCATAGTCACGAGGAATTACAGTGCGCTCACAACTGAGGCGAAATGTTGTGTTTTATTGTAGTTAAGTCTTTGAAATCTTTTTTCGTTCTTTTGCGTGCACTCACGTCAACTTCAGATACAAGTTTATTACCGAGCTGTTTGTTTCCGTTGAACAGGTTCTTGAAATCAAAAGTGGTGGACTCGATGTTGTATTTGTAGTTCGGCGTCGCTAGTTTGAAGTGTTCACCTTTGGCGTCCTTGACGTGGTTCAACTTGCTGTTGATCTCCACTTCTACGTTTCCTGTACGATAAGTTATGGATATTATTCCTATGTCCTCTTTTAATATCGAAATTTTATAATGTAACGCACATGAGGGTCATCAGGGTCATCGACAGTATTATATAAAAGACTTAATTTAACTACGACCAGAAGATTTGGTACTTCACAGCAACCGTTGTCTGAGAAGACAACCTGTGACGGCGATATTTATATATGTCGCGCTTAAAACGGTTTAAAATGTTTTATATAATGAGTAGGCATTTCTGGCTTGGACCAAACCTCTACAAAAAGTAATTAGTCGTGAACTTGTAGCGGCTAGTTATAATTACTGACCTTTTCTTTTTTTTTCAAACCAGTTATGATAATTAATTGGTTCGTTAAAAGTCCTATCTGATTAGTCACAGATAATATACGATTGGGATTCTTTTATTAACTTGTAGCGCTATTTGACAGTTTTAACTGCATCACATTTTGTACTTACGGCATTTTATTAGTGAGTCACCGTCTCCCCTGATAGGCAAAATTAGGATTTTTCCATCAGCATTGTATTGTGCTGTCATGCTTAAGTTGCCTTTGAAGCCCAATTTGAAGGTTTCTTCCTTTTCTCCAATGTTAATTCTGGAAAAATATAATTTGAAATAATAAATAATTCATTATTTATAAATACGGTCGATTGATGACCTAAAGAAAGCAGACGGCAGCAAATGGACAAATAGAGTTCAAAAGAGGGCCGAGTGTCATGCTTTGGGAGGGGTCTACGTCCAGCTGTGGACCCAAACGTGCTGATAATGATAATGATATGATGTTTATAAATTGGTGAATCCTAATGTAATATTTATTATTTTGGTTGGTTTTCTAAAAAAAGTATAAAGTAATGTATATTGTATTGAGAGAAATGTATATTGTAGTAATTCTGTAGAGCACAGTTTTTGGTAACAGTGTCTCGGATAATTTTTATTGATAGACTATAATAGACGCGACGCTTTGTTGTCGTATCCAACTATTTCATTTAAAATTCTTAAGGTGATTGAATTGTATATGCGTGACTCATATATAAAACTATACTTTGATTCGTTGGTGGTAGATTTCGAAATATTAGTTGATTTTTGAAAATTAAGGCAAAATTCAAATAAGTCTGGCTTTTTAAAACTTTTTATAGTGGAAATGAAGTCGCTTACGTTCATCATATTAACATACAAGTGGTATCTTCCTGTGCGTAAATGTCATTGTTTAACCGATTAGGACGCATATTGCATGCTTCTTTTCCATTATATACAAGTGTATGAAGTAAATAGCAATTGTATTTACAAACTTAGAAAACATAATGCGTTCCAAGATCAATGTATCTCTTATTTTGTTTGCTTATTGTTATAGGTATTTGCTTTGAGTCAGTGCGTCGAGTAATTGAACACTTATGGTAAAAACTAAATCTTCAATGGCCTTTTAAGTGTGGGAAGTCGTCATGTAATATGGGGGTTTTATTCGCTGTTATTAGTTACAAGTGCTAAGCACTAGAATATTATTTTGGTTCAGCACACTTTAATGTTATGGACATAAATAAAAAAGTTGTAATAAGGAGTAAAATGTATCAATCAGTGGAGAAAAATAAGGCTTGATACATTGTATGTACTTTACATACAACTCACGGTCGGTGACTTGTAGAGTCGTGGCGCTAACAGGAAGTGCCATGAGTTCTTTTCTGTTTTGATATTCCTAACTACATATTATAATCTAGAAAAAAAACCTTTACTTGTGTCAAAACAGGCTCTTAAAATAAAACCAATGCAAATCGAAGCAAGAGTATCAGTAGATAATTAGCACTTTGTCCTTTTTTTACAACATAAAGTATTAAGTGATTCGTATTTCACTTACAATAGCAAATTAATATAATTATTACTTACATAAAATCTGTTAACGATCCTTCAGAGAGTCCGTGCATTTTGGCTTTCGTAAATGTCAACTTGAGTCCATTTCCGTCAATAACAATGTCATTTAAATCAACTGGATCTATGGAAGGGACGCCAATTTCTGGTATACCCTTTGAGAATAGCGGTAGACTGTTTTCTATTTGTTGACGCACACATTTCTTGAAGTCAGACTTTTGTAAATCACAGGGTTTAAGGTAGGATGCTAGAAGAAATAATGAACAAAATTAATTTAAACATATGTATTTAGAATTTAAATTTAAAACTGCAGATTTAAACTTTTTTTAATATTATTAAATTGGGTAAGGATGAAGCAAGATAAGACCTTAAATCTAACGAGGTCAGTACAATATTTAAAATATTTGCTCATTGCTTAAATATCCAAGGAAGATGTTTCTCAATCAACAAACATTTATAAGATTCCTTTTTTAAATTTACATTCCATGATCATGGTTCATTTCCTTTGATACTAATCTCTCAAAATATTTGATCGTATCTAAGGAATTTTCCATGACTTTGTTATATAGTCTGTGGGTGTATATAACACATACAATAATTATTGTAAAGCAAAAGGATGGTTCTATAGAACCCTCTGAATGTACGAGAATCTGAACGTACTCAGGGGGAATCGGAAAATCGATGAAATGGTCAGTTTTCGTTGACTGATCACCCGGCCTTCGATTGGGGTACCCAACAGAATGTAACAATACATAATAATATACTAACATACGCTCGCAAACCCAATCATAAAAAATAAAATTTACGATTTTAAAAGTCACCCGCTTGTATTTGAACGATTAATTATAACTTCTAATATAAAATTCTTTCGAGTTATAACACAAAAGGTAATTCACGTCAACTCACTTAGCGGCAATGTTTTACGTTATTAAATTGTTATAAGACATGTGATCTTATGTACCATGAACTTGCCATGCATTAGCACCACTTAACGAATAAATTATTCTTTTTAATAAACATGTTAAAAACCGTAACTATATACTTCTTCTGTGTTTAGTCTACTATTTGAAGAATGAGGTGTCTTAAAATAAAATTTACAATATGGATTTCTTAACTTGTAATTTTTTTATGACCCTATTTCCCACAGATGGACCTACATCAATTATTTTTGCGTATTAATATTTTGCAATGAAAGATATATACATAGAAGACTAATTACCATAAGAAAATAAACATAACACAGTTTCAGCATTAGCTTAATTGTGTCTTTGTGTCAAATGGTAATAAGCAAGTCACTGTTACTTCTTCTTTACTAAAAGTTCCTATTCCTTAAGGAAAATGTTTACAGACTACAACCTTTTATAGTTAACTGTGTATGTATTCATCAAGCATTTGATCTAGTGGTCGATGAATTATAATTCAGAATACATCGGAAGTTAGCGCAGTCATACAATAATGACTGATGATTAAAAAAAAAACAATGGAAATCGATCTAAGAATGTTATAGATTGATATTTCACGTAGATAGACAAATAATAAAAATATTAAATCTATACAAATCAAACTTATATTGTTTAGATTTTTTTGATAAAAGTGAATTTTGTAATGCAGTTTATCACTTTCATATATGTAATTGGAATATCAAAGTAATTACAAAATAAGTTTTATTGTTATAGCAACAAATTAAAACGATTCTTGTTTTTAAAATACCTATATTGCGTATTCAAAATAATTATATTAAACTTAAAAATTGGTTAGTATTGTATTTTATCCCTTTTTGTAAATAATAAAAATGAATCCTAACGTATTGCAAGACATCGTCCAATATATTCTTGTTTCAAAGCAAAAAGTTATCAATTAAAATATGATATAGTTGATCGTTAGAAGCTCTATTGTTTATTTAAAGAGTCAATAACTCAGATTACAATATTACCTACCTACATTGGTTATGGAATCACTATAATTATACGTAATTACTTACTTTGCAAATAAGTTTTTTCTTAAAACAGTTTCTTTGTTCATTTACATAGGTATTAACTATTTTAATCATATTCTTGTTAAAGGAGAAACAATACGATCTATAATTGATTTACGAGAAGAATTGATATTTTTTATAATTCGTTTGTTGATACACGGTTGAATGTTTCTTGTGTAAAATGGGGACGTGAGGACCTTTGTAAGGGTATATTGGCGATAGACGTACAGCGAAATTTTCGTCCGTTCTTTTCGTTCGTTCTAACCCTTTGATGTTAGACTTTCGGTTTTAAATAAAAAAAAAAAAATACATATATATTTTAATTTATTAAAAATAAGTATGAACTTCGTTTTGCTATTTAAGGTAGACTTAAGGCATGCCAGAATAAACTTTTAGATTACTAGAAAAAATATTTTACAATTTATGTTAGATTTAGATATCTTGCATTATTTTCTTTATATATTATTAATTATATATTTTTTGTATATTTCAAAAAACTTCGAATTAAATCAAATAAAAAGAGGAATTACTCAACACAAAATGTATTATTTATTACAACAAGAACAATTTATAATTTATTCTCCATAATTTATGTGTTACAGTTTAATAATTTCAAAAACTTACGTAAAAATTCCTCTTCTCCCTCCACATAGAAAATTGCAGCTAGCAACACTAAAATCGTTAATTGTTTCATTTTGTTCTTAATATATAAAAAGTGGAAATTGCTTTAAGAGCTTTTAGTCCTGTGGTATTTTGACAACAGCTGAACAACTACTGTTTCCGTACAAGCATTGTCCTTATTTATGTACGCTGAACCGCCGTGTGAGCACCTTGGCACTCATGAATAAAAATCACAAATACTCAACGAAGTTTTTGCCTTTTTAGCATCTATTTTTTTTATCAAAAACTATATTGTTTGAAGTGAGTGTACTTATGGAGTGTGGTGACGATCTGTTGTTCAAGTATTTGTTATTGTATAGTTATGTATTAGTAAGGTAGTTGAAATAAGTTGGACATATTATGAACGTATGCATAAAAATTTCAAAACCAAATATTTTATTAATTTCAAATACAATATTAACAACTTAAATTAGACAATTTACTTTAGTAAAAGTAATTAATTATTTTATAATATACCAAAAGTATATATCTATACTTATATATAAATCTGAAGAGTTTGTGTTTGTTATCTTGCAAGAACGACCGGATCAACACCGCTGACACAAAAACCGCGGACAAAGTCGCTGCGACATCTAGTAGTAAATATGGCTGTAAAAAGTTCTTAATTTTGTTTTATTCTTTATTAAATCTAATTATATGTGTTTCGTGTTTTTCGCAGCTATATTTCGTCTAATTCAAGTCATATATTAAAGGACTTTATATTATAAACTAAAGTAATCGCAGATTATATAACTTATGCAGAATAAAAACATGAAATTAGTCTTATACGTTTTTGTTACTTTGATTTAAAGATAAAACTTTGCTTAAAAAATAAAATGTAATAATTTACAAAATTAAATTACTTTGCGTGTAGTTGGTGCTCTTTTTAGGATTAAAAAATGAGCTTCAATATGTTGTTCAATCAAATTTAGGATTGATATAAATTAAAACATGCGTCATAGTAAATAGTGATTGATTCTATACAACTATGACACATAGCTAGACCACTGGATAGAAAGAGATTTTGTATTCATATAAGAACGTTTAATCTGTGGTATTACAAAATTATTTGTGTAGATTAAAGACTATGAGGGTTACCGCGCTTTTTTTACGAATCATTTGTCGCATTAAACACTCAGATGATCTGGCATTGTTACATAATAATTTGTGTTACTTGTAAGACTTTTTATGAAAAACCTTAATCAACTCAATTTTTTATGCAGTTATCGTTGATTTGAAATGTACTTAATACGTTTTTATCGGAAATATGTCAATTGTCAAAATTTTGAGACATTTTTTTTTTTTCATTTATGGCAAGAAGAATAGTATAGGAGGCAAAACCATTCCCGTTACCAGAGATACCATATAATCGTATCGACGTTCTTTTGTTTTATTGCGGAAGACTATATAAAATACTTAATAAATAGTTATAATTGGTGTTTTGCATAGTGCCGTTTGCATCACAAATAATTTTGCATTAGCAAATAACAATTACGTATTGGCAATATTTTTATTAACTGCTACGTTAGACTGGTGGTTAGTATACTTAAATGTAAAGCACACGGGCCAGGGTTTGAATCCCAGTTGTGAGACATAAATATATATTTTTTTATAGTTTAAGATGAATAAATAAAGCTAACTAAATTAAGACATTTAAATGTTATCTACCTAAAAGTTGTGGCATTAGATAAAATGTAATAAACACGACAAAAAGTTATTATCTACTTTTTATATATTTTTTAAAACAATTTTCCCTGTATCAATCCAGTTTGAATATAGCGTAATTTATCAAAAGTATATATGGCCTTTTGGTAAGATAAGCAAACTGCTTTTGAGTCAAATATACATCGTTCATAATTCTATCATTGTATATGTCCAAATGCTTGAGTTTAAAAAAACAAGAGGTATAATATTTGTGTACAATTAACTATCGTAATATTGGCTGCAATCGAACTACGAATGCCATAATTTCAACATTAAATAAAGAACCGACCAAGTTCCGTATCTAGAACTAGCAAAAGATACGTTTGTTACCATGAACATAAATGTTACTTTTTCTGTAACTACCTATTGAAAGGATCTTACTAGACTTTGTCATTAACACGAGAGGATGGAGAATAAAATCACACAGGTTGGCGCATGTAAGGTTCCGTACAATACGCAAGCTGTATTTTACGTAATCGAAATTAAATTTGCCTTTAAATAAAACGTTTGTAACGGTTTAAATATGGGCTTAAAAGGCTATAAAAGTAATGTAATTAAATTATATATTTCGCTTTTTTAACCGTTAAAAGGGCTTTATATAAATGTGTACTATTCCCGTAAACTACAGGCAATATTAGCGGTGGATAGATCGACTGCGGAATCTTATTAATAGAGAACAGTTTTACTTTTGCGGAACCCTATAAAATAGCTTAGCATGTGTTACAGAAATGGCTTATGCATATTTTGAACTTCCTATAATAACTGACCCAGGTTTACGAAACCTTACGGGAAAACGACAAGTCATTGACATTTTCATTCAAAAGCCGTTTTATTTCCTACTTTTGGCTGCGTCGAGTAATTATCTTTAGTAATACAATCTCAGTTATTGCAGTGATTTAATTAACTGTGTAAATATTTAAAATTATTTTGTAATTATTTTCAGCAAGGCCAGATATGTTTAAGCCGATATATTGCAAATGTCCAGTTTAAGCACACGATTCTTAAAGTAGTTAAAGTGATATACAAAATTTATTTTTATTTATTAAGTTTGTCAATTATGCTCAATGTCTGTTTTGTCGAAGTCGTCAAAACGGACGTATGGCCTTCGTGGCTCAATGCTTAAACGCATTGCTTAGGTTCGAACTCCGGGTGTGCGTTCAATTTTGTCAACTTAAAGTAATTATAGAAATATCGTTTTAGAAACACAGTAGTTGTGTATATCAGGATAAAAAGAAATGATAACTTGAAAAACTAGCGCCGTAACACGTTACGATGCGTTCTACGGGTTCTTGTTACAGATCATTACTTGACATTGTCAAGACCCAGGTCATCAATTATGATACATTTATTGATGTAAGTATCATGCAACAATCATAGTAATCTTTCAAATGAACCAGTATCTGTGAATTGATAATTATAAAAATAAAATTGTTTGACGCAACCCTTTGATCATTTTAATTACAGAACGCTGTAATTTGAACAGCAGTTTTCCTAGAATGGGCTAACTATTGCATCGTTAACGTAAGCGTAGAGAATTCTTTCGTGCATTTGATTTGAGAAAAATTTTTTATATCGAGTCCGAATCGAAATTCCTATAAGTACTTTTTATCTTTGAATATTTCCACATAAAGTTTAAAATTATAACAAAGAGTCATATATGTGTTAATTACAATGCTCCTATTTCGTTCAACAACGGATTTAAAAAATATATTTTATATTAAATAATAGGTCTTGATTTGCTTATCTAAATAGGGATTATAATTATTTTGTGAGTATTATGTACAAGTAAAATTCATTAAATTTAAACTTGTGAGGTATAAATAATAAGATTTTAGCGCAAGATGTTATACTATGTAATAGCTATATGCAATTTTTATTATAGACTTAGCTGTGCCCGCGACTTCGTCCGCGTGGAATAGTGACTTGGGGTAGAATTTTTAATTATTTTGGCTGTTTATTAATTTATGTAAGGGCGCATTAAGGGCAGCTAATCTATGTTGTAAGTGCTACTATGCCGCAACACTCTCATCTCATATCACTCCTACTCTAACTCCCATTCTCATTACTACACTATTATTTTTTAAATTTTAATTATTTTTTTTTTTTTTTTTTTTTTTCACTTCCACTCCCACTCCAACTCCCACTCCCACTCCCACTCGCACTCCCACCCCACCGACAACGTCGAGAACCTCTTCTGCTCACATCGGCCGAACATCCCCGAAAGACAATGATATGATAATGTAGCTATCTAATGAAAAAATAATTATTAAAATCGGTCCAGTACTTTTTGAGTTTATCCGTTACATACAAAAATACAAATCTTTTCTCATTATAATATTAGTGTAGATAGCTGTTACCCACGATATTCGTATCCCGTCGTACGCGTCCCGTTGTTCGGGTCGTTCTTGCAAGTTAATCTTAAAAGATAGACATATAGCGTTGCGAACTTTTTTTTTTAGATAATCTAAAGGGAAATCATTCTTTCATACACAATTTTTAGGTATCGTGAACCGTTTTCGCATCTGAAACCTACAGAGATGAAGAATTCCCCCGTTTTGTTCACATTTCTCGCTGTATCTTCGCTCCTATTAGTCACCTCGCAATATGTTATAGCCTTACTCGATAAATGCTCTAAGCAACACAAAAAGAATTTTTCAATTCGAACCCATAGTTCCTGGGTTCATAGTTCCCATAGCTCCTTCAAACAAACTAACTCTTCAGCTTTATATATTAGTATAGATAGATATATTGTATGCGTAACTTGCAGGTCGGAAGAATGTATATTATTCTATGCAGTTGGTATAACTCTTGATATAAATCAAAAACAAAATGGCCGGGTAAAGCATTTAAGGCGTACAGACAGAACACCTACTTGCGTACACATATCGATAAAAAACGGCCACATTAACGTATCTAGCGAGATTTTACTTCTTTATAATGTTAAAATGTAAAAGAGAAATCTAAAATTTGTTCTGCTACTGTCTCGTATTGTATATTACAACATACTAACGTATACCATAGTGTTTAGCTGCGGAAAACCCGAACGTTTAATAAAATTGCCAACGCCTGTATTCAAAGTGGGCACAATTTTGTAATATAGCTTTGCCTACACTACATAGTTAATCAAAGGAAATGATCAGGCGTTTGCGTGCTTCTAATGAATTAGGAATATCCAAGGTCCATAACGATTGCTAACATCTATATATACCTACTCAATTTTGCTTGAGCCTGTCCACTTGACTCCGTGGTGAGTTCTTGGGTCTAGTTCAAAAAGGTACCTAAAATAATATTGGTACATTGAAATAAAATTCAAAAGCAAGCTTTTTGCCAGTTTTAAGAAATAACAAAAGGTATTATTAATCTCACGTATAGGCACAATTATCGGTTATGTTCTCCTCAATTACATAAATGTTAAAAGGTTAAATCTCAATTAATCCTTTTAATTTATGTGCATTTTAATATATAATTATTAAAATGTATGCTAAAAACTGTATTGTAATATTATATTTAAAAATTGTTATTTAAGTATTAGTTAAATTGTGTTATGTTTGAACTGTTTATTTTATTTATACAAAATTAGGCATATTCAAAAGAAAATCAAACTAAAGTCCTATTTAGCGAGAAAGGCTTATAGCTAAAGCTTCTAGCTCGTTACGGGCTTGAAGTGTGGAAATCGTTTTCATTTTCAGTAACACGCTTTCGTCAGCCGGGACAGGATGTTCCCGTTTGTGTTCCATAAGTTCGTGACTCAGTACTGATTTAAATTGTTCGTCTCAAGATAATGTAAAATGCGTATAGAATAGTTCAGTGTGTTTGTGATTTTTGTGTGGGTAAGTGTAAATTAAAACGTAATATTTTAAACCGAGTAACGCAAATTTTCATAGTTAGATGAAATCTTTTTTTTATAATTTTTGTTAAGCTATATGCAAATGTTCGTGGCAATTATTAAATCACTCACTAAAGTCATTCGCACAATTTTTCTTACTAAAGCGGACAATGTATGCCATTTATAGACTTAACTTTTTTTTTGTGTTTCATTTAAAATCTTATCGCAAGTGAAGAAACTATTTCTCATTATCCAGATTTCTCGTAAAGCTTAAATCATTTTTTTTTTAAAAGTAGGTCGTTCGTTAAGCACGCTAATACCTGTAAAGTTTATAGTGCACCTAGGTATGTTGTGTGAAGTCCAACATTATAATTTTATATAATAAACCACAAGGTTTAATCTTTATTCGTCCTGATCACGTTAGTTTTATACACCATGTTATGTCTCGACCTCCGCGTACAATTGTAATTTTTCTTACAGAAATGTCGAGGCATACTTGAAGACATTTTAATATTATACGATAGTCTATATTGTGATATAAAGAATATTACTGTAACAATACAAGAAATGAAATCACATTTTGTTAATATGCTTTTGTGCGTATTAACAATGTGAGACTGATAACTGAGAGACAATTAGCAAAATTTTGAAAAGGATTCTAGCGCCATGTGTAAGAAGGTTAGCTGGGAAACAGAGACTTTGATGGGGGCAGCACCACCCCCCTCGAAATGGGAACGACTTTTTCCACGCGCTGCACTTCCACATGTCGGCTTGTTCGTAGCTCTGATGCTTTACACAGCTGGAGGTGGATTGGTGAGTCTTTCTCCTGTAAATGTGTTACCTAAATCACATATTTATGTTTTATAGGGTATTTAAATAAAACACTTCAACGGTTCAAAACGCGATATATTAGTTAAACTTATTTGAAAAATTATTTTTAACTTCGGCCCGACGTTTCGGATGCTTTGCAGCAGCCGTGGTCACGGGGAGACAAAAGTTCAAATGAGTTTAACGAATATATCTCGTTTTAAACCGTTAAAGTGTTTTATTTAAATGTGTACTACTCACGTAAACTATAGACAGTATTTTATAGGGTATTTTATATTTTAGTGATCGATATAAATCATGAGGAATATAAGATATATAAGGAATTAAGAATATTGTCAAATTTGTTCTTTTGGACGTATGTTTTCTAATGTTGATTTAATTATTCAAAGAATTTAATTTTTAATTTCAATTATCGTACCTAGTTAAAAAAGACACATACCATACAAAATTCTAAGGTGTGTAACTAGATCTTTAAAAATCTACTCGTCTATAAAACAAATGAATTACATATCTGTCTTTATAATAAGTTTTATTATAATCAAATAGTGTTCACGAAACAGTGACAACGCGGCGCATAATGCACTTCAACTTCATAGCCTAAAAGTAAACCTTATGTCAGTTAAAAGTGCTCGCTTAAACTTAACTACTTCTTTAAGTAAATAAAAATTGAGCTAAATAAATGAAAATGTTAAATGTTAAAAGTCAGCGAATTCTTCTTCGTATAGACACACGGGACTTTCTTTCACTTTCTCATCTTCGTAATTCTCGAAGTATGACGTATCTCCAGGAGACCGAATTTTGGGTATAAATGGGGCTTGTAATCTACTATTCAGTAGGCTATCCCAGTCGATTTCACGAAACCATTTATGATTTTTAAAATCAAGAGCACCGTCCTTAAGATTTCCAAAGCGCTTTGTTAGATCCACTTGCAGGATGTGCGAGAGAAGATCTTTGAGCTCCGGCGTAAAATGACTAGGGCATCGGTACTTCCCAGAAACGATCTTTTCATAAATTCTCATCGGATCGGATGCGTAAAATGGTGGGTACCCAGCGCTCATTTCAAATAGCAGTATACCGAGCGACCACCAATCCACTGACATACCGTAACCTTTACTAAGAATGACCTCGGGTGCGAGATATTCAGGCGTTCCGCAAAGGGTCCAAGTTCTTCCACGCACAAGTTTACAGAAACCAAAGTCTGTGATCTTTATGTAACCGGTTCTTTCGATGAGAATATTCTCTGGTTTCAAGTCACGGTACACCAATTCGCAGGCATGCAAATACTCCAGCGCTAACACTACTTGAGCACCATAAAACTTCGAAGTAGATTCGTCAAACTTGCCGAGTTTCCTTAAGTGGGAAAACATTTCACCTCCAGCCACAAACGGAAGTATATAATACAAATAGACGTTGTCTTTGAAGAAATACTTCATGAAAACAACAAATGGGAAGTTTAGACCGCAGAGGATTTTCTTCTCGTAATAGCTATGCTCTATTTGTTTTAATTTAACTATTTTATCTTTTTCCATCGTTTTCATGGCGTAATATTTACCGGTTCTTGTGTATTTTGCGAGATAGACTACTCCAAAAGCTCCGGTGCCGAGAACTTTAAGTTTTTCAAAATCACCTAACGTTGCGTTACATTCTACCTTCTCATTCCATGAGTCTATAAAATTATGTTGCAATTTCCGAAGATACTGTTTGTACTGTTCCTGTCTAGCTAAGGAGTAACCTTCGGGGTGAGGTGAATTAATAAATCTCTTGGCATCTTCTGCCATTGCATCAATTTCCTTTTTTGAAATCAGTTTGAAATTTTCTACATAAGCTAAGGAGATGAAACAAGATCACTAACTACAATTCTTCTACCACAAAATAATATCAAACCTCTTAACTATGACACTACACGGATGCCAATTAATCATTATGTACATGCCACTTTATTTTTTTTTATTAAAATACAGTTTCTTTAGAGCTACTATAAAATTCTGATAGAATATATAGTTGACCAGAATATTTTTGAACATATTTTTTTTTTGTTACGTAATGAAAGTTAGTCGTTTTTAAATAAAAATTAAAAACGGTAGCATACATACTGTATCTGTAATTTTGTGGCTAAGACTATTATATTAATCTATATTGACATAAATGGTTTCTGACTTTTTGTCTTAAACGTCACGTGTTTTATTAATAAATATTTTAAAATAATAATATTTTTTTAAATTAAAATTTTTGATAATTTTTAACTCTGATATGAATTATGTAGAATTTGTAAAGCTGTATTACAAAGTATGCAAAATCGTAATGCGTACTGTCCTGGGTATACGGATCAGAATCACAAGGACCACCTAAGATATTTAGATATGTTGCGGGAAGAATTTATAAAGCGATATGAAAATCCACCCGAACATGATAAAACTCTCGATGACTTTGATAATATAAAAGCAATAGGCAGTGGCGCGTATGGAGAAGTTTTCTTAGTTCGCGACAAAGGAACTTTTACTTACCACGCCATGAAAGTTGTCGAAAAGAAAGTTGTGGTTGAGAGAAGACACGTAAAACACTTGATATTAGAGAAGAAAATATTAGACAGTGTTCATTTTCCTTTTGTTATTTCGCTGGACATCGCGTTTAAAGACAATATATACCTTTATTTTATATTGCCATATGTAGCTGGCGGTGAGCTGTTCACCTATATTCAAAAGTACGGGGGGTTTTCCGAAGTTCTAGCAAAATTTTACGCCAGTCAGGTAACGTTAGCCCTAGAATATATGCATCATTGTGGTATAGTTCATAGAGATATAAAACCAGAAAATATTCTTGTGGATACTAATGGATATCTTAAGTTATGCGACTACGGGTTTTGCAAAGTTTTGAAAAAGAAAACATGGACTTTATGTGGAACACCTGAATATCTGGCCCCGGAAGTAATTTTGTCAAAGGGATATTCATTTGGTGTTGACTGGTGGGCGCTTGGTGTGTTGATTTTTGAAATGGGTTCCGGGCATCCACCATTCTTTGCGTCTGAACCCAGCAAGCTATATGAAAAGATATTAGAAGGTCAATATAAAAGTCCAGATTGCTTAGCTCCTGATTGCAAAAATTTAATCAAAGGATTGCTGCAAGTCGACCCGACAAAGAGACTAGGCGCCCTCAAAAATGGAGTATTTGATATCAAAAACCATCAGTGGTTTTATGATATTTGTTGGCAGTCAATACTTCATCAAAGATTGCCTGCACCTTTTGTCCCCATTTGTCCATCGCCAGGGGATACAAGCAATTTTCCTGAAATGGAACAAACAAAACTGAAGAAATCCTCAAAATGTCTCTACGAAAAGGAATTTGAGGATTTCTAGAGAAAAATATCTTCTTGCAATTATTATAAGGACAGTATATATGTTTATTTGATAATAGAATTGACCTTTGAAACATTAAATATCATATTATGATTACTGCAAACCGAAGTTTAAATAATGCCATATATCGAAATGTGTCAGTCTGACAACTTTTTAATGAATGTGATAGAAGTAAAGTGTCAATAATTAATTATTATTGTTGTTGTATTTATTTTTTTTAATGTGTAATACAATATAAACTAAAGCAAACTTATACGTTTTAGTGAGGTAATAAATCAACACTAATGTTTAAGCAATGATATTTGCTAGACAAGAGGAGAAAATTCCCCCGTATACTCATGATGTACAATTTAATCATAAAAGATATTTAGATGTTTTGAAGCATGAATTTTTAGAACGGTATGCTAATCCACCAATACAGGAGTTGAAAACAGTTGATGATTTTGATCCAGTCGCTACGTTAGGCTTTGGATCATTTGGAACTGTGCTTCTCGTCAGGGATAAGTCTACCTTCGAATACCACGCTATGAAAGCTTTAGAAAAGGCTCAGGTAGTAAAGAAGAAGAATATAAAACAGCTATTACAAGAGAAGAAGATCTTAGAGAGTGTCACTTTTCCGTTTGTTCTCAATTTAGAGTATAGTTTCAAAGATAACGTGTACCTTTTCCTTATTACGCCGTATGAGTCCGGTGGAGAGCTATTTACTTTATTGAAGAAATTAGGTAATTTTTCTGAACCTCTAGTACAATTTTATTCAACACAAATGGTCTTGGCGTTAGAATATTTACACCATTGTAGTGTGATACACAGAGACGTTAAACCCGAAAATATATTTATTAACGAATCAGGATATATTAAATTAGGTGACCTTGGTTTTTGTAAAATAATTCGAACTAGAACTTGGACGATCTGCGGGACACCGGAGTACATAGCTCCAGAGATTATTCTGTCAAAAGGTTACACATTCTCCGTTGACTGGTGGTCTCTAGGAATACTTATTTATGAAATGACAGCTGGATATCCTCCGTTTTACAGCTCCGATGTAATGAAAATGTATGAAAAGATATTGGGTGGGTCGTTTAAGACCCCAGACAATATGACTCCTTCGTGCAAGTCATTGGTAAAAAGTCTTCTCGACGTAGATCCTATGAAACGCTTTGGATCTTTAAAGGCTGGTGTATTTGACATTAAGAAACATGTGTGGTTTAATGAAACTGACTGGAACACAATGTTACATCAAAAATTGTACCCTCCTTATATACCAGTAACGAAAAGTTTCAGTGATTCGGGTTTAAGCGATGTTAAACTTAAAAAATCCCCCGATTGTATGTTTCATAGAGAATTTTCAAATTTTTAAGTTCTACCCTAGGTTTAAAATGTTTACCAATCGTTTTATATGTAATAATAATTTAAATATGAGTATAAAGTGATTTTATTTAAACATTTATCCTATCCTAGAAAGTTTTTTAACCTCTGATTTATAACCTGTGATTCGAGGTATATGTTCAAGTAAATAATTAAGAATATTGTATGAGTATAAAATGTTCTGATACATTTCTTACATTCTTAGGTATTTCGAGCACTAGAATATCCAGCAGAAATGGCGAAACAAGAATATATTCGCGACCGTTTACTCACAGAACGGTGGAATTTGATACGAGTGGTTTCCGATTACAATTTTAATGGTACTGAAGTTGTGAGTATGGAGAAATTGCTCAGCGATCAGCTATCAATTTATGAAAGAGTAAGTCGGAAAATTTTTTGTCATTACATGTATACCGTAAGATTGTTAGTACTGTTCTATTATAAACAGTAGGTGCAATATACGGCTAATCAACGTGTCGTCGGTTTGCATCTCCACCGAATCCAACATATTTCTATTCAACTTATAACTTTTCTGAAACGTGTTGGGATTTCGTCTAAGTCTGGATTTAAGTGGGTGGTATGAATATCGAAATTCCGTCCTGGTCACAACTCACCGTCTCCACATGAAAAAGCCCTGAAGTTAAATCGCGTGCTGTTGTGTTTCACCTGTGCGTGTTTCACCTACCAACAAGTGAGCTTCATGCTCGCCTGTCCTCCTTTATGACGCATATGGCATAATTTCAGGTGCTAGAAGAAGCATCAGGAAGCGGGTTATCATTAGAGATTGAGAAAAACTTTCCGGCTTTAGAAGAAAAGTGGAGTATACTGCAAGCTGTTTTCTTTTCTTCCACTGTGCTCACTACTATAGGTGTGTAACAACATGTAAGCATACACTAATAATAATTTTACATTTAGTATACCTCAATATAATTCAGTAAATTTTATTTATTGAATTTAATCATATTTTATATAAAAAAATCGACCAGTAAGACAGGTACTCTAATAAGTCTGCCCCATGCCCCAGAGGTTTAAATATACATAGAATTAACAAAAATGTTCTTTAAAGCTACAATAAATAAAACCATTTTAATATATGCTTGGCACAATTTTACGTCTCACATTTAATAGTTTTAAACGCGACGCCGTCTCGACATTGGGTATTTTTTATTACGTTAATAATTATTGTTCCATTTGTGGCGCAACAACAAAATAGGCTAAGACAAAAAATACTTACGATGACAATATAGCAAGTACACGCACAGCCCTTGACGCGATTTCAAAATAAACTAGGTATTTTATGCCTAATTATCTTTCAGGATATGGGAACATCGTGCCTGAAACCTTTTGGGGAAGATTGTTCTGCATCATTTATGCCTTAGTTGGAATTCCGCTAACACTCACGGTTATTGCAGATTTGGGTAGAGTGTTCGCTACTTTCGTCTCAGTGATGGCCAAACATTTACCGGAGATGCCCAGTGAGTTTATCGCAGGATCGTTTAATCGCCATTTGTGGTTGCTGACGATGTCATAAATCTCTCTAGAAAGAATCATTAATAAATAAAATACTTTTTAATGTTTCTGCATAATGATTGGTGATTCCTGGAGTTATATTTTTGACAATGTCTTGTGTAAAATGTTATATAAAACATTACTATAATGTTTGACATATTTTTAGTAAATTATATGAAATATAAAGTTAGTTAAATCAATTAATAGAAAGGAATGTTGAATCAAAAATAATGTAAAATATAATAAAATAGTTTGATGTTATACAACTGTTACTTAGTAAACGTTAGAACACTATAGACATTTTTAAATGGCGATTTTAACTAAAATAATAAATCACTAAATAAAAACACTTCAAAGCGATTTATTAGGGGCTTGTTATTGATATATGGAACTCCTGAAATTTTTAAATAAAACACTGTAACGGTTTAAATATAAATTTATAAATTTACAATTTCCTGGGGGCTATCCGAAACGTCAGTCCGTAGTAAAAATAAATTGTAAATAAGTTAACGAATATATTTCGCCTTTATACAGGAAGTTTTGATACTGTCTATAGTTTACGCGAGTAGTAGACATTTAAATAAAACACTTTAACGGTTTAAAACGCGATATATTAGTTAAACTTATTTGAAAATGATTTTTAACTTCGGCCCGACGTTTCGGATGCTTTGCTGCAGCCGTGGTCACGGGGAGACTGTAGATGGAGAATGTCTCTGACGTCAAAGTAAAAAATTGCTACGCTAACGCCATCTGTTCCGTCGAAGGTGGTATTTGGCGAAAATGGCCGGGTCCTTACAGAATTGACTAACGGTGTCTTCGCGTTTGCCGGTATGCTGTTTATTGGGATCCAGAGTTTTAATATGGGATCCCAGGTGTTTGATAATTTGAGGCCGTCCTCCCGTATTGAAATTTCAGAATATTTTGTTTAATATTTACTTATTTTCTATTTCCCTTCTAGAATGGTGTAGTCGAGTATCAGAAGTAAATCCAGCTGGCCAACGTTCGCTCTATGCATTCTGGGCTGTGGGATTTCTTTTTGTTTACCTCTCCGCTGGTGCTGGATTATTCAAAATGTGGGAGGACGATTGGACCTTTTATGACGGATTTTATTTCTGTTTTATCACTATGACAACTATTGGTTTCGGTGATCTTGTTCCAAGTACGTTTTATTTGCTTCTTCCTCGTTAAATTCCCTTTTTTTTTTAAATTTGTAATATCTATTTTAGCCTAAAACCAGACTGGAGACCTAAAATACATATTTTTCTCTTAAAACATTCGACAATAGTTTAATGATTTGTTGATTTAGATAATTTACCTGTTTTTGTTACCTAAAAATCTCTTTGCTTCATTTGTATCTAAAAATCTTAAAAATAAAAATTAAGCTAGTTAAGTCTGCATCTTTCCCTTACAACTGTTTCACTTTCAGAAAGACCAAAGTACATGCTCCTATGCACGTTGTATATATTAATCGGTCTAGCTCTGACGTCTACTATTATCGAGCTAGTGCGTAGACAATACGCTCGCTCCTGGCAACAACTGCGGGCTCTGTCAGGTCCCTTGGCAGACACTTTGCGAAGACTGGGCGACGCCGGGCGGGGAGTCGACGTGTCTGCCTTACACGATCTACGGAAGGTTTTGACGGTCGTAAGTAACTTTTTATTTTCATTTGAAGTATCTAAATACGTTTTTTAACCTTGAGCCACTGTTTAAACGCATTCAAAAGATACAGTCTTTTGAATTTAATTTAAAAGGGAGAAAAGAGTGGTTCATTTGATGGGAGTAATATCCAGCTATATAATATCTACGATTTTGGCTCCGTATATTCGGAAATCCACAGATTGAAAGCTTTTTAATTTGTGGACGTTGGTTCGTGGTCTGGACGGAATTTCAATATTCTTATCACCCATATAATATCCAGATTTCCAGACAAAGCCCGACATATTGCAAAAAAATTAGACACATGTTGGACCCGATGGGGGTTGAAGCCACAACCCGTTGTTTGATTGTTGAGCCATACATTGCTACTATTAGTCCAACGATCCCGTCAAAGTAGATCCCTGGATGATATAGAAATGATTTAACATTCAAACTGTATTAAAACTTTAAATGTGATTTAGTTAACATTTGACGAGTAGCGTATACATACGCCATTAATTTATTCTGCTATGATTACTCCGAGGTTCCTTCACGGCAACTCATGTATTATTCAAACATATCGTTACCGATACATATGTCGAGTTCAAAGAAGCGTTCGATTAATCAAGACATAAGATCGCCTGGAGAGATCATCGATTGATCTTTAATATAAGCAATATAAAGTTCTTTGAAGAGATCACACTCTGGCTATTTTGAACTTCCAAGTCTTGATTTAATAGCCTTTTAAATGCTCGAACTATATCATTGCGCTTTATAATGTAAGGATGACGTCATTTTATAAGCTTATGATTTTTAAGCGATCCACTTGTATCTAAAATAATATCGATGTTAGGTCAATGTCGCAACATCCACCCTTTTAGTTTTAGTATCCCATAAAATTCTCTGAATAACATCAATATTGTTTTGAATCGAACAAGCGGAATTTTAATGTCAATCCTATTTTTGTTAACGCTGTAATTACCGTGCCCGATAGCCGAATTTCCTAAATATTTGTCCAACATACACAAACGCTATCGGATATTTTTATATGTTTCCGATGGTTGTAAAACATCGTTGTTAGAAAAGTGCGTCAGACTTTCGACCTTCAGTCAGAACTGAACATTACGTCGTGTCAATGTTGAATGGCTCTGCAATATACCACTGCCGTTATAAAGATCCTCGTAAAATATGTTTGATAAAATACGTGATCTTTGTGTCAGTATCATATAAAAAGACGGAGCGCTGTAGGGGTTAGCTTGTTTCAAAGCCAAAAAAGTGTTTAAAATAAAAGAATTTATTTATTTAAATTAAGATTTAATAATATAGCTATTTCTTTTCTTTTTTTTTACCATCAGGCTCAGACCTTCTAGAAGGGTGTACAACCTATGATCAATGTGTATAGACTATAAATATGTATCATTTATCGTAGACAAAGATCTCAGATCGAAATGAGATTGTCACAAACGTTGGTCGGACTCGCTTCAACTATACCAACGTGGCTTTAGAGATTATTTCTCCATGTAGACGAATTTTTAAACATAGCCTGTAGTTTACAATAGTAGTACACAAAAGTGACAATATTTCACATAAAATAATACTCTCACAGTTAGTACTGTTTAAACACGGAATATTATGTGTTAGCTATTTTCTTTTGAACTACCATCCGAAGGTTCATGTGTTTGAAGTATTTTATCTATAATGTATCACGCATAAACTGTGGACTATACTTAAACGCTTCCAAATTACTTATATAAACCTTTTGAAATACTTCTTCTAAGTAGCTAATTACAAACAGAAAACGCCTTTTCTCCATAATTCAAGGATAAGATTAATAGTCACGGAAAAGTCACCGAAAGCTGGCGAAAATCTTTTAAAAGCGGGACGAAATTTTAAGCTTAGGACGACTTACTTTCGCCTACATTACTTTGTATTATGCAAAATTCATTTAATTGTATACTGTTGCTAGGACGATGGTTGCTAAGTAACATTATCATAAATTTTACCACCAGAAACCTGTATTAAACAAAGGCTCCTGTTTGTTTTTGTGTTCCAAATGTTCCTGTGATCACCCGTAAATAATACCCTAATTATAGATCTTGTTTAAGCACTGTGTAAAAAGTGAAATATTTTAAATTTTTTTATACTTTAGCCTGTTACAATAAAAAAAGGACCGTGTTGAGTGAGTTACACATTTTGACATACGTTAAAAATATTTACTTAAGAATTAGTTGAGTGTCGTCTAAGCCTGCATATATCAGGATTTTAGTTCTTTGTCGTGGATTTCAAAATCACCTTTTCATTTCTATCGCCATTCATGACCGTCTCTGTAGCTAAATGGTTGTACTTATCATTGCGTTAATTGCAACAGGTCTTGAGTTCGAAATCTGGGGAATCAGTTGATTGTTTTGGTCTGGTAGGCCTCAGAAGTCTAATCTACTACTTGCTTGTAAAATAAACTCAGAGAAAAGGACACAGAAATGTGTTCAGCCGGGGATTTTACTTATTTTTCAATTAAAACTGTTGTTCAAGAATGTGTAAACTTTTAATTTTAAATGTCGTATTGTTTGCTTTTCCTATTTAGTTATTTTTCAATGAATAGTGTAAACTGTCTACAATACTTACCAAACAATATTGTAAAGTTATTTGTTAAATAATTAAATAAAATATTGCTATTGCATAATTTAAATGGATTATACAGGCTGCTGTCCAACTTATTTTAGGTGCATTATTCATGACTAACAACTACGAAGTAGGCAAAAGTAAGCGCAATGCAGATATCGTTTATACAAGTAATAAAGGCATTGGTAAAGGCGTGGTTATTTTTCTCATTATATTCGTAGTGAGATCCGTGGTCAGTATTTCGCTCTTCAGATAATCTATAATCGAGGTCCTCAAACTATTTTCGCTTGTAGGACCAAGTATTTTAACTTAAAACAGACTCTGCTTTACTTTGAAAGATTTAAATTCACAACTGATAATATACACATCGTCGTTATACTGCGGGTCACAGATAATTATTTTATGATCCTGCGTCATAACAAATGACAAAAAGAACGGTTAGTAGTCTTGTTGTCCCGGCAGAAGTGACAAAATGAAGAATATATACATTTTAAGATGCGAAGGAATAATTTGACAAGAATCGCTTTAATTATATTATCTATGTCAAGTACAAAGATTGAAGCCGTCTAATGTATTAATCAATTATTGCGTTATCGTACACAAACATAGCAATATATATTGTCGACTAATTCGAGATAAATATTTTAAAGTAGAAAGTACATAACGCTGCTAAAGAAACTATCACTTCAAAAAATATTTTCATTAATTTATTACTAAAAGTGTCCCATGAAACATATTTGTATGCTACAATATTATCGTGTCCCTTATCATTAATATCACCCTCTTACGTAACAAGCGACGCTTTGTTATATACCTTACATACTTATTATTTACCTTACGTCTAGTCGTCGAGATATATTCCGACAGTTTATTGGGACTTTGTTGATTATATGAGTCGAGTGCTAACGAAACGTTGCAGAGCTTTTGGTATTATATTGCTCTCAACTGAATATAGCTTTTGTATTCTCTGTCGTAGTAAACAGTATGTTACCTACTCTACGCTTTTAAGTATATACATATATCTATACTAATATATAAAGCCAATCGCAGGAACTACGTGTTGGAATGGAAAAAATATTTTAGTGTTGGTTAGAGCATTTATCGAGGAAGGCTATAAAACATCGCCCTGTGACTAAGTAATACAAGCGAAGATACAGTGATAAAAAATTGATAGAGATAGTAATTAGTCATCAATATGTGTTTCCGAAGTGAACGCTGCAAAAATAGAACACGAAGTTAACTCATATAATGCGCGTTTTAACCGTTAAAAGTGTTTTGATTTAAACATTATTATGTTGTTACAGGTGACAATGCCACGAATGGGCGGTGGTCGAGAGTCCCTCGCCGATAAGCGACAACTGGAATGGGAGGCAGCTTTAGAAGCAGTCATACGAAATATAAACAACCCGTCTCCAGCTCAGCAGAAACCCCCGATTGTTCAAATTGTTATTTACGAGTCTTCCGTATAAACTCATTACGCTAGCTTGTCTCATATAGCATGGTAAGTTTGACAGTTCATGTTTGACTTCAGTAGATTTCGTGTTTTTTCAGGATGTACTATACCTTTACTCAATTGTCAGTTACCGCCCACTTGTTAACTTGCCTTAGATACTTACCTTTTAATAGAAAATTGATAGTAAACAAACACATAATTACTAAAATAAATAAAATACGCCGCAATAAAAGTTATTTAGAATATTAAAATCATTTGGTCTATAATAATAAATGATTCTTTATCTCTGTGTCATTTGTGCAATCAGCTACATTCTATGAAAGGTCATCACTGTGTCTCTATGGTTTGAAATCGGACTTATCTGTGATGGTATTCTGACAAGTTAGAAATAATACCTCATTCATCCCCATTTGTAGAATGTAAAACTTATCATACTATATAATACAAATTGTATTTACGTAAGGACCACTTTTGCTATTCTATAAATTTATAATGTGATGTCCCAATCCGCGTGTTTCAGTATTACCTACCGTATATTACGTTACCTTAAGTGAACAGAATAATTGCACGTCTTTACGGCTTCAGGTGTCACAATGTGATTTAATATTTTTTTTTAAATTTAGCGTCGGAAAAGAAGGACGTAGTAATCTGTTACCTGTTAATAAACCCGCTCAACGAAAAAGACACAGAAATATGTCTGCTTCATTCTTCACATGCTGCCAACAAGTTTATTTACTTCTTTATGTAACACCTGCTTAGCGTAAAGTATTTTGAAAAATCTAATATATTCTTAAGTTTGTAAATAAAATTCTAATTTATTGCATTTTGTAAATTATTTTGCTTGTATAATTTGTAAATAAATAGCGTACGTTTAAAAGTTGTCTTTCTTTGTATAACACAGTACCGAAAGATAATATTTTGTTTTTTTATCCGAAGGTAATATGAAATTTACGGAGTCAGGAAGTTGGTAACTTCCTATGCAAGTGGCATTTGTCTGTTATGTGACTTATTGAACCTTGAAAGGTTATGCGAGACTTCAATGACAATGGAGGTCATTCACCTCGGAGCGCGATGTGCAGTGCTTTTTGTACATCAGAAAAAAATTCAAATGTCATTGTGTTTTGGAACGTTTAAAAAGTGTGTGATATTAAGAATCTCTAAAAGCGTGTCATCTATATTAAATTTCCCTTATATTGGAAAGTATAGAAAATTAAACCTCTTTTCAAATAGCAGTTATAGTTTTATCTGTATCATTGTTTTTTTTTTCATCAATTAATAACGAAAAATAAATAACATATTATCTCCTACGTGAGCATGGCATAGACACATAACTGTGTCTGTAACACCGATCGATTCTATTGACAGGCGATGTAAAACAGTCCGATTTTGATTGCGTATAAAAATCATATAAAATAAAAAGCACTGTACACTGTACAATATTGGACAAGGTTTTCTGCGCTCGAGCATCATGCTACGGTAAATCTAATTTAAATATTTTGGAAACATAGATAAGAGATATAATAAAAATTGAAAACCAAAAATAAACCGTATTTCACCAAGCGATGCGCGATCTATATTAATAAAGCAATATCAAAACAATAATATATTTAGCAACAATTCGTACTGATTCTCTCCACTTAAATACATTCAACTAAGCGAAGCAATGTTTGCACTATAAATTACCGATATTACCCAAACATATGAATATATTTTATTGAGCTATAAAATTCAAAACCGAGCATCGCGCCCAGCGCATCACATCCCACCGCAAATGTTTACATATAATTTTCTTAATATTCATTACTTGTTAAGCAAATATAATAGATTACAAATAAATATAGTATAACAAAAATATGGAGGTATGTATGAAACTATTGTTTGTCTCTGTTTCATTGGTTGATGGCATGTTGCTTTGACCACATTTACACACGCTATTAGTGTCCACAGTACACCTAAAGTGGATTTAAACCCGTATAGGTTGACGGACCGCTAAATTGATGATAAAATGACACAACTACTTCAAAGGAAAGTTCTAGAAATTCCCAAATACACATCACATTTGGAGAACCCAAGATTGAAACGGCTAGCCCAACAACCGAATATAACCGTATAGTTCATTGCGTCTTATTTAATGCCGACCTAATAAAGTCAGACCGAAATACCCCATCTGACCGAAAAGCTCCGACCGGCCAAAAGGCTGGGTTCTGGGTTGGGTCCACCTTCGACCAAGTGATATCTTTCTTTTCTGTAAAAAAAGAACAATATTCAAAATATGGAACATGTAATGAGTAATATTGGGTTTATTCTTATTTCAAATCAAAACAATCTTACAATGTCCCAGGCGACTTTGATTTCATTTGTCCATGATTACACACAAGTCTTGAGAGATGTATATGGTACCTGAGTGGGCTCTAAAAGTAATTATACTATATAGCGTTTGAAAACGCAATTTCTCGTTATGTTTTTGCTTCCAACGTAAGGCGCCATTCGTATTGAAATAATAAAATTCCGTTGAGTAGTTAGCATAAAATAGAAACACTTTATGTGATTTACAATGTATTCGATTCGTACAGTGAGTAATAGATACTTACCTTCAAAACAGTTTTATAGATTCACTTCACCTTCAGAATAAAAGCTCCATTCTTTGAAGCTAAATTACTTTTTCGTACAATACCTGCCGAACTATAAATCTTTTATTCGCTATCAATTTACTGGCTTCAAAATAAGAGAATTTTTCTTTGTGATTTATTTTTGTTTTCTTACAATCATACTCCTTCTTTTACAATTATTATTATTTATAACAATCGCCTTCACAGATCCGTTTATAACAGGTTCTTGGATCGAATCCTGGCGAAACAATAGTTTAAGTTCGGTAAGGCACAAAAGTGTGAACTTGAAAATCAATTTATGAAAACACACACCACATAGGGTATACCTGTTTACTTTCTTATAATAACTGATGCTTTTATCTGAATTTTAGAGATATAAATACATATTATGTAGGTTCCTTTAAATGTATCTAAATTATTAAACTACAGAAATATTGTAACATTGTTTCAGTCGGGTAGGGCTTATGGATTACGCATAGTGAAATTAAATACTATATTTATAATAGAAAGATAAGTACGTATAAATATAATACTGATGGCTCTATCCCAATGTATTCGTTAATGTGGGCACGGGGTCAACATTTATAGGCTTTATAAAAGAAGCAATAAAGAGGAATTATTTGCTACGCCTAATGTAATCCTAGACGATCTGTCGCTGGCTTTTACGATTGTTTCCACGACGACGGAAGTGCGTGTTAGTTTTGCGTAATGTTTTCTAAACAAAATGTTGAACAAATCGTTACCAGTCCCAGGCCACTTATTGTCCAATTAATGCAGTATTGTATCATCAATCAACAATTAATTTCTGTTATTATAATTTTCACAACCTCACGGCATTCAACAGAGGAAGAACAACTCATAATTTGAAAGATTTTTATTTGATAAGTTTTTTTTTATTAATGAAATTTAAATCAATGAAATATGTTTCTACGATGTCAGTGCTACTCATTCGTCACTAGGCCTACTAATTCATTTATCTTAAATTCTTCATGACCCATTTACCGTATAACAGATATTAATGAACTACAAAGTGACTAAATATAATTACGAGATTATTCGTAGTAAATGTAAGATGTTTACACGTTTCCCCAAGGTGCATGGCTTAAATGTTTCACACCACCGATTTTAAATAAACATTAGGCCAAAGTGAATAAATTACTTGTACTCTACTAGCCTAGTAATAGTAGACAAACCTAACTAACCACTGTTACTTAAGCGATAGTTTAATGACGACAGAATATTTTTTTAAATATTTTAAATACGTGTAATTTTAAGAATTCACTTATAAAATAAATTAGTTAAATGACACTACACAGGAAGAACATTTTTCGCTACGCCTTTTAAACGTTAGTTGTATATGCCTACAGACAATAAAAATAAATAATGATTAACGTACAAGAACGTTAAAGATTTCAAGAAACTCTTTAAATAGAAACATGTCATGTACATTTGAACGTTTGCCCGAAAAGTCTTCAGTTTCAAAGAACACTTATTTATGTTAATTTACGTCGCTCAATTTCACATTTAAATGTTTTCCTCGAATAAAAATAACAAACAATGTGTCAACGAACGACGATAATTGTTGTTTGGTTACATTATGATTTAAAGGATATTTATTTTGGAATTGGAGAGTGGCAGTACTTAAAATCTAATATAAAAACAATAAATAAACCAATAGAAGAATCCTTAGAGTACATATATAAGAAAATTATTACATTTGTGTCTGTGTAATAAAGAGATAGATAAGAAAAATTATATCTATTATTGATGTTCGTTCGTTACAGATTTTGGTCAATATTTAAGGTACACAATGACATAACGATTGGGGGAGAAAAGCTGATTATTATTTAAATATATATTTTATACAGTCCCCTTCCAAGATCTTTCTTTTTTACGGAATCTACATAGCCCCTTTATTACATTTAAGTATTTATATAATTTTTAAATAAAACACTTTAGCGGTTTAAAACGCGATATATTATTTAAAAATCGAAAATAAATTGAAAAAAATGTTCGACTCGGGCAGGACTTGAACCGGCATCGACAGCGTTTCGTGCTGTTGCTCTACCAATTGAGTTACCGAGACTCGGTTCAAGTCCTGCCCGAGTCGAAAATTTATTTTCGATTTTTAAATTATATAGTTGCTTTTATGTGCAATAACATGTAAAAAATAATAAAGTTTTCAAACGCGATATATTAGTTAAACTTATTTGAAAATGATTTTTAACTTCGGCCCGACGTTTATTATTTACATAATGTCTAACTTCATAATTACTTTTTATTTATTAAAATGCGAACAAAATGTATTTCTGTTTTTCAATTTAATGTATTTATAACACTGCAGTAAAAAATTGGTTCATCAAACTAAGGCCATCTTTACACATTATTAAACTGTAGACTTCCTAAG